ATTATTTTCAATTCTCAAATAGGTACGTAGGTATAGGGTGTCCTGTTGAAGATGGGAATTTTTTTATTTCACATTCCCTAGCCAATTTTTTATGACAAATCAAACTGCAAACCGCAGGTCTTGAACTCTTTTCATTTTGGAGATAATTGAGGGTAGATGATTTAATGCTCCAATATTGCATCAGGGTTTGATTTTGTTCAGAAATGGTGGCTATTGGATGTATGCCTATTTGCAATAATAATTTGAAGATTATTTCATCTGCCTAAACCAACGTACCACCTTTGTTTTTATAGATTAAACAAATTTGCCAAACAAACTCAAACTACCTACAAATTAGTTCTCCCAAGAACTGCAATAAATTATAGACTCTGCAATGAACGTCATAACCAATATTCTGTTTGTTGACTTAGATACTGAAGCTTCGGTTTATTCTAATGCTTTATTATTCGATAATATTAAAGGTTGTAAATTATGATTGTGTTATGACAAAAAAAAATTATATATTACCATTATGAGTAGTGAAATCTATGGAGGTTTCATATTTGCTTTGCTTTTTGAAAAACGCCCAGGCTTTGTCAAATTGACTCGCCGAATGGATGAACGTTGATAATTTTGAAATTAGATTTATTGGCGCATTATAAAATGCTTGCAAGATCTTGAGGCTTATTGTGAAAACAGAGGGATTTTAAAACATTTGACATGTAAGAATTTTTTGAGTTCTGTCTGAAAATGTCAGTATTTAATATTGTAATTTTACATTCACACGCCTATCATAAAATGATATGCGAAAATAGGTACGTGATAGTTTTATTCAAATTATAAGGTGATCAACTGGTAGGTATAATGGATTTTTGATTTATGGAAAAAAAAATTGTATCGAAGTTTCAAGCTAATATCCAATGAACCTATTTAGCAAAAATTGAAAAGAAACTCCATGATTCGAAAATGTCTGGTTCGGTTAGCCGAATTGAAATGTATTGACGACGTATTTTTTAGCCTATAAAACTCTTACAAAGTGCAAAAATACTGTTGAAAGCTTGCGAAAATTCACCGTTTCTAGTTTCCGGAAAACTTTTAGAAAAATGTATATCAGTTAAGTACATTAAAATTTTTATCTATTTTCTCCCTGAACATTTGGCAAAAATATTTTTTTTTTTGCGGATCATTAGTCATCATTCGAATACCTTTATAGAATTTTAATTTTTGAGATAATATAGGCTCTTCCATTAAAATTTAAATACGTAATTTGAGTATAAAATCCTAAAGGAAGGACTATTTTAGCAAAGTCTATTTTAGGCACATACAGTGTCCCCCATAATGTTCGCTACATATGAGGGATTTTTTTATTTGTACGATATGGATTTTTTTTTAGGTATGTGCGATTGATCCTGCATGTCTGATAACTTAAAAGTAAATTTTGACATTGGTCACGTGATCACTGTTGTGGCGGCAAATTCGAAAATTCAGACATGGAAACGCGGAAAGTGGGGTTAGAATGCAAAATTTCGGAAAAAGTTATTTGAAAAAAGTGATTAGAACGATGTAAACGATGTTTTAGGGCTGTCTGCGAAATTTGGGGGAAAAGTAACAAAGAACAGGAAATTACTTGTTTTTCGCCATGGATCTCTTATCAAATAATAATATACAGTTTTTATTATCGAAATAGTCCAAGTACATCAATATTTAATGTGTATTCGTAAAACAAACTTCAATTCTTCATTGGAATCGTTCCTGAAAATAATCCATAGCAGGCTGTTTCTTTGGTTGCCTATCTTTTGAAAAAGGCAAAAGATAGGCAACCAAAGACACAGCCTGCTATTTTTTCGTACAAAAAATAGTACTCAAAATATGGAGAAACTAACTTCAAAAATCTTTAGATAATCGATCAAAGAATGTTCAGGAAAAATTTGAGCCAAATCTGATGTGCCGGTTTTTTGCACCTTCGAAGCGATTTACGAAAATGGGCCTATGTGCGCATGTACAGGGTGGTCATTTTATCTTGATAACATTTCAAACTGTCATAATTTCTTTATTTTTGGAGTTATTTGAATAAATAAAAAAACATACTGCAGGGTTTTTCTCCAAGTTTTAGATAGGATGCAGGATGGACAAAAAACAAAAGACTAATATATTTTGACAGTTATGCACACAAATAGCATTTTTTTAAATGGAACACCCAGTAAATTTTTAGTTTGTTTGATAATATGTTCCATTCTGATTGCAATATATACAATACAATACAATTGAATACAATTCACCTCATATTTTCATGCAGAAATGTTTTATTTATTCTAATGGAAAATTGTGTCTACCTACCTACCTTTGCAGGTAATCTGTGTAGGTAATCAATATTTTCAGTTAGAATAAATGAAACATTTCTGCATGTAAATATAAAGTGAATTGTATTCAATTGTATTGTATTGTATGTATTGCAATCATAATGAAACATATTATCAAACAAACTAAAAATTTACTGGGTGTTCCATTTAAAAAAATGCTATTTGTGCGCATACCTGTCAAAATATATTAGTCTTTTGTTTTTTGTCCATCCTATCTAAAACTTGGAAAGCAATCCTACAGTATGTTTTTTTAATTATTTAAATAACTTTAAAAATAAAGAAATTATGACAGTTCAAAATGTTATCAAGATAAAATGACCACACTGTACATGAGGTGCTCTTGTCCCCTTGAAGCCAGCTAAAATGCGGATTTGTTAAAGGTAAGAGACAAATTTGGTAACCAAATTATCAACATCTATTTTGATATGTATTGGAAAAATTAGCATTTATTGATTTTTAAGCAAAACTAACTTTAGATCATAGGAAGAAAACACTTATAATTTTTGAACAGGCTATTTTTGTGTACAATCCGGTGTTTAAGAGTTTTCTTTTTTTAGTTGCGTAATATTATTCTACATTCATTTTTAGGAGACCTGTTTGATTTTATATTTTGTTCCAATATTATCCGGAACTTCTAAAAAAATTTACCTATCAAAATTCACTAGTTATACGTTCCACACAATACCATAGATGGCACAGTGCCGCACACGATAGCGCACTGTCTTTGATAAAGTTCACTGTACTATTTTTGGCATCTGTTTTGTCACATTCATTCACATTGCGTTGTGTATCGTGTTTGTCACAAAAGACACTTTATCTATGACTGAGATGATGCTGTGTTTCCCCTGTGATCACCATAACTGAGATGGAGCCCTGTTTCCCCTGATGTTGCCCCCATTCCTTCCCTTAAAGCCACGCAGATCCTCACTAGTGATAACTGTTTCACTGATCTGCGGCTATTTTGCTATTTAACTGATACTCTGAAACTGGCACGAATCATAATCCTCTACCTGGGATTCACGTTGCCTGATACTGAGACAAACTACACAGGAAGACTGATAATCTGACAATCTGTCACTGACACTCACGTGAACCCTCTATCTGAGATTTACTTGATGATATTGATACCTGAACCCTCTACCTGTGATTCACCTTGCCTGATATGGGTGTTGGTAATTTGGTTCCTAGCAGGTAGTAAATAAAAAGGTGCTAGCCCTTTCTTTGTTATCAATATGTAATTTGGTACCCAGACCCCTAAAGAAAGTTGCAATATTGGTACTCAGCTAATAGTGAATATTAATTAGGTACCTGGGGGTGTGGTGTGCGGTTTAGGTAATAAGTTAGTACTCTTGTTTGTGTGTTATTGCCGCTTGTGTTTGAAGATGGTGGTATTTGCGTGGTAAATTAAATCTTGAAATGTTAGAAAAAACGACACAAATTTATTTGAATGCCGGTTTCATCTTCCCCAGTCCTGGTATGGAAAGATTCAGGAATACGGTCTTGTATCCGAATATAAAAATGAGAACTCTGATGTTGGCGACTGCGACAATTCAGCTGACCTTACACGCACTACCAACTCCTGTGAATCTGTTCATAAACACTTTAATTCGTCCTGTCATAAAGCTCACCCCAATATCTTAATATTTTTGGGAAAAGTTAAATTACAAAGAAAAATTGCGGGAACCAAGTTACATATTTTTTTTCTAACCCTCATTATCTTGGGAACCAAATTACGTGTACTCCCCGATATTGATTCGTCAACCCTCTACCTGGGATTCACCTGGCTTTTTTCCTAAACAACCCCAAAATTGGGTTTTGAATTGACCGTAAACCCACACACATCAATACTTACTGACCAATCGCAACTCCGCCTTGCGGTCGTTCGTGACAGTGTTTTCATATTTGATATTTTATTTAACTTTGGCATAATCCTATGTTTGGGTTAGTTTGGCTTCAATTTTTTTAAAATTCTTACCTATTTTTCTTCTTTATTTCTTTTTTTTTTTTTTTTTTTTGGAGTATGGGTATCTTTAATCTTTATTTTGTTATCCGCCGACCAATAGAATTATAGAACGGTGAATTTATCTTGCAGAAAGTTACCAGCAAGTTTATCTGAAAGATGAATAAACCGGGCCTTAAAAAATACCAAATTTTAGATGCTAGACACGACCAAAATAGGAGCCTTCAGTGGCGTTCCTGTTGATGATTATCTCAAATAATCATCCGTGACGTCAGAATCGTTTTGGCGTCCGTTTAAATTGGTGAGTGATTTTTAGTTGCTTGTAAAACTGTGTACTTTATGAACTGATTTTATCATTACAAGGCTTTATTTTGATTGCATAAATTGAACAGTGCAATGAAAATAGTTAAACTTAACTATGCTAAAACACCAGATTAGGGAACGATCGAAGAAAAATACACTCGATTCACCAAATTTTACGTCTCACAGGGATTTAAAATAGATCAATGTGGATGACTGCTATTGCTATGTAATAATTGTCCTGACAAATTCAGAAGATACAATTATAGGAAACGATTGGCGGCTTATGCGTAGACAGGTTAGGATAATTGAAGGAGTATATTCAATATGTCTCAAAATTGGAAATAGGACTGTCCGAAACAGTTGTTGGTGCGGGGGTGCGCTTGAGACAGCTTTTCGGTATTTATAGGGGCGGGCACAAGAATTCGAATGGTAGTTTAGATCTTGCATAGCTAAGATATACACTAGAAAGAAATAATTTTTTTTATCAGTGACGAAAAGGTAAGTCCAGCAGATTTTATTATTTATATTTTTGTTTGCCAATACTAAATATTTATTCGACTGTATTTGCTTGTAACTTACTTAATTCAAAAAAAAAAATTGTACAAACAAATATTAGATTTAAGATTTTTTTCAGATTATTATACGCTTCATTTGATACCCTAGTTAATTGTTTTTTTTTTTAATGGGAACCACGACCGTTACTACTACATTTGGGCCATAGATAGCAATTATAAAACTTTAAAAATATTTCATTTGCTATTACTGCTTAGAAAACATTTTTGCTCTATAGATATACAGTGGGTACATAATATCAGATATGTTAAACAGTCTAAGGCCCGGTTTATTCACCTACTGATAAACTGCCAGGTAACGCGATGTGACGGATAAAAACCCAATCTATGATAATATTGGTCGGCCGGTAATTAGTTTGGTAAATTTGTCTTATAGACAGTTACCAGCAAGTTTATCGGAAGATGGATAAATCGGCTAAAAGTTTTTCTTTACATATCTCGTGAGGGTTGACTGTTGGAATAAAAACATTTTCATGTAAATCATACAGAAAAGCTGCTTGTTTTCTTTGGGTACCTACTTAATTAAGTACATTATTAGGTATTCACAATTTTTTTTCATTTGCATTTTCTAAATTTCTCAGACATTTTTACATTTTCAAATAATAATTTTCGGATGTTTCCATTTATCAAAAATATATAGGTACCTATTGAAAACAACTCCACCTATACAATGCCTATCTTGCCCCTATCGATCAATCGGTTACCTACACATTAAATAGGCGACTTTTCCACGATAAATCGCCAAAATTGGTAATTTTCAGGATTTTCGTCATTTTGCTTAAAAAAAAAAACAACTTATCGTTAAAAATTTCAAAAACATCTTCCTTTGTTATTCTAGATTCGCTCACCATGTTAAAGATCACCACTATTCTTACAGTGGCTTCTATTATTATCACTTTTCAAGCTACAAATGCGTATCCAGCAAGTAATGAAGAATATAGATTTATAGAAAGAGACGTAAGTAGATACCATTACAAATAAGAATGTTAAAAATTGGAAAAATGAACTTTTGCAAATCTTCGTTCAATGGTTTGAAGTTTCCAAGACAAATTAGCATACAATTTACTTTAAATAATTTCAATCTCTAACTTTAAATAATCTACAGCTTAATTGGATTAGTAGACATCAAGAGTACCTATAATATAAATCATCACAGCCGTTTCGATAGGAAAATTGATAGTAGCTATACAATAAGCCATTACAGTGTAATTTATAGCTTAAAATATTATATTTCAGTATGCAAGTCCAGGAGCTCACCAACTGGCAAGCTGGTTAGCGTTCCAGCTTCGCCCAAAAGAGCTCAGCCCTATCCCTCCGGTCGAGGTTCCTATCATACCTTATCGTCTTCCATTGCAAGCAGGAAAAAGAAACTCAGAAGTGACCAATGCCATGATAGGTTCTGAGGAAACTCAAAAAATGTATAGGGAAGGTTAAACTTAGCATATGTATCGAACGCTAAAATTTGTTAAACTCGGTAATATATGAATCTGAAACGAATATATTTGTTTCAACTTTGATATTATAAAAAAAAATAAATGTAAAAAAAATAAATAAACAAAAATCACAGATAAATAATATCACTAACTAAAACACTGGAATTTCATTTTGTGGCTTATCGCATAAGTCATCGTCCAAGTACATGAGATACAAAAATGTAAAATACAGGGCGGGCGCACTGAGTAGATGCCAAACGTCGTGTTTGTCGTAGAATCCCAGGAAAATGCAACCTTGGTTCCATGTTCTAGATTCCGCTGGACTAACCTGAAAAAAATATTATTTTCTTTATTTAGAAAAAAAAATGTTCACTTCCAAGATAGACATAACGAAAACGCCTTATTACGCAGTGACATTGTTTATGTTTTGTCCACTTTGAAAATGGATAGTCTTTAGTTTACTCACTGTCCAAAGGGTGGCTGCATCCAGGAAGAAAATACCAGCAGCTATCCAGCAACACAAACCTATGAATCCGAATATGAAGGATTCCATGCTGATTTTTTCTCTGTGTATTATCTGTTTAAAAGTTAAAAATAAGATCTCCTGTTTCATCAGGTTCAGTCACAATACTTACTTTCATTAGAGTATAAAATGAAATATGGAGGACAGTATTCGATAAGAGCATCCCCAACAAAAACGTTCCAAAATCTGTGACGTTGTAAAGGTATATGTACAAGCCGACAAATAATATTCCAAAGTTTGCTATGTTTGCAATTGAAACTAGAATAAAACGACCTGAAAAAAACTTTGTTTGTGGAATAATTATAAAACTTCAAATTGTATACCTACTTACCTCTTCTAACTGGCGCAAAAGTTTCCCTACAAAATCCGTTTTCTTGATAACTGCTATAAAATTGTTTAGCACCATATACCACAAAATTAAGATAGTAGATCTTTAAGGATAAAATTATGATTAAAGATGCATATCCTACCAAGGATAATATCCAAATGAAGAGACTTCCTTCAAGAATACCTAAGACAGCTATAAAAAAAAATTAATTTATGATTAGTCTTTCAAAAAGTTAATTTACCCATGAATATTGCTCCTCCAATGACACTGAATGTTGAATAAGCTGTTGCATTGATATCTGGATGTCTGTTTTGATAAAGTTTCACCATGATGAGGACAGTCATAACATACATGAAACTGGTATCTATTTGTAAAAAATAAAAGAAATGGATTATGAAATATTGGTATGCTGGAACTTTGATACGCATGAAGGATTTTTTTGTTTCTGATTCTGTTTAAGTGAACAAGTACCTACCTGGAAGCTCATACTATAGTTTATCATAATCAAAAGTTAATACTTTCCCAAATGAATTTTTGTCGTTGTCATTTCGCATTTCTAAACTTACCAAATTGGTAATTGGATTGAGTCGGACAGATGTGGTAACCGGCAGAGAGGAGGCCTTCTATTGTCAAAGCCAGGCCCATAGCCAGGAATAAACCGTAATGTACGGGTATCCCATTGTCCTGAAATGGTGTTTTTATTTACTTTTAGAGGTGCCTGATTTTTTTTTACGAGAGGTATTCTTAGTAGGTAGGTATGTACCTTAGTAATTTTTATTCTGTGTTGTCGATCTAGTACACCAAGTATAAAGAAAATACCAATAAAGATGTATCCAACGTTCGAAAAAATATGGTTGAAATCGCTGAAAACAAATGCTGGATGGGCGCATAGGAAATTGTAGTAACAAACGTCTTGATTGCCGGTGAGATTGACTACCTAATAAATATGTAGAAATATAATTGCAATTTTCATTATTTATTTTTCTTACTCTTTGGTAAGTGACTACGAGCTGGATCACAGGAATACTATAAAACAGCGCTATACTAAACGTGTGCGACAAATAGTTAAAAGATCTTTGTTGAATTCTTTTCGGATATTTGGCAAATGTGTTTACTGTAAGATCTTTTCCCAGTATAATTTTATTAATTTCATCGTCAGAGTAAGGCTGGATATAGTCCTTTACTAAAACAGCTGAAAAATTAATCTATTGTCAATAAACAGATAAAATTATTGCACACATGCTAATTTACCTACTCAGTTTTAGTTTTATAGTTGAAAAGTACAAACTTTTTTTGTTTTTTTTTTGGAGAGAGAAAACCAAAGTGGAAAAGTTCCTGGTATATTTTTTTTTTTGGATTTAAGTAGAGGGTATAGTGACTGTTATGCTGATAAATCTCACTTACGCTTCAGTATCTGCTTCGATATAGTCCCAAATCGATTAAAAACAAATATAACTCCTGTAAAAACTAGTCCAAATATTGTTAAAGCAGCCATAGTGACAAAGCAAGCTTTTACATATACAGTATAAGTTATACTGTTTTTAACTAGAAAAGTTATTGTTGAAGTTATATTATTTTCCATCACTCCACTGGCTCGGGTTATCATTGGTATTGCGGAATTTTCCTGGCTACATTCATAATCGTCAGGTTTGGCAACGAAAACGAGGAAAAATCCCTTGGGATACTTTCTTTTCTGTAATAAATAAATGCATTCGATATAGATATACCGATGTAAATAAAATAATATGCGACAAAGTCATAATATCACAAATTATCCAATTAGTGGTTACATATTTCGCCTGTTTTAAGCAACATCAGACCCTAGTTAAAAACTTGAAACAAACAAAGAACGGGTTGAAATAACCTTGTGGAATGCACATCTAACTGATAAGAGTATTGAGGGGGTTATAATTTCCCAACTGCAACTATGCCCCCACCATTAGAGTTTTTCACCCCGAGCAGTTTGTCTTGGTGGTATCTAAGTCGGTTTATTCCCTCCTCTGTATGGGGCAAGCCTTTCTACGGATATGACATGACCTTCGGCCTAGTTATCGGAGAAGTGGAATTTTGTCTTCTTGTAGGTATACCCAAAATAATCATCTTTCACCAATTGTCTTTAGTAAATACATGGTTATATTTATTTACTATTGTAAATGGATGAAATAAGAGAACATGAACATGAGATAAATTTAACGGATCCCAAACCAATTGACACAAAATGCTACAGATACCCGGAAATTCATAAAGCCAAAGTAAACAGACAAATTGGCAAAATGCTGAAACAGGGAGTAATCCAACCTTCAGCATCACCTTGGTCTGCTCCTTGATGGGTAGTACCCAAAAAAAGTGAACATCTGGAAAACATAAATAGCGTGTCCGTGTCCGTGTAGTCATTGATTTAAAAAAACTTAACGGCGTTACTCTTGGTGACGCTTACCCTATTCCAAACATTGGAAAAACTCTAAATCAGTTAGGGCATAGCGAGTATTCTACAATACTCGACTTAGCGTCAGGCCATCGACGGTGTATCCTTGGAAGGGCAGATATCCCGTATAAAAGCTGTTTTCGATAGAATTATAAATAATAACTTGAAATTACAACTAGTGATGCTGCCGAGACTCTCTCGTCTCGTCTCGAACCCAATTTTCTCTCGAAAATTCACTGCGAGACGAGAGAATGCTTGTCTGTCGTCGAGAATTTCTTGAGCAAGATTTCATTGTTTTATTGCTTTTTAATGCTTAAAGTTAATTTTCCAGAACCTTATTGGGTATTATAGAGTAATATTAAATTTTTGTACCTTTTCTTGTTAACCTAGGAGTCGAAATTAACCTACTATGCATCAAAACTGACGAGAGACGAGATAAAACGAGACTAGAGAGAAGAGCTCTCTCGTCGAGACAGGAGACGCATTTTCTCTCGAACTTTTGAGACAAGACGAGAGAGAGAGAGCGTATTTTCGTCTCGTCTCGCGGTATCACTAATTACAACCAGACGAATGTGAGTTTTTACGTTGGAAAGTTTCTTATCCTGTCCTCCATTCAAGGTTTTTCATTGAGAGGTATAGGTTATTCTTTTAGAAGATCAAGATCGGCCTATCCTCTGGTTTGAAACAGCGGCTGATGTTTTAATGTTAAAAAGCCACGGAGGTTGAAAGTAGCATTGAAAAAAAAAATTATGGAATTCTTGCAGGGCAGAGACGTCGTTTTTTCAGAAACACTTAATTTAACAATAAAACTTGGAAGTTGGAGGGTTCTGCCGTTGAATGGACATTGGAATACTGTCCATAAATTTTTTTGTATTATTTGAGTCATACTTACAGCAATTGTGATAGCTCCCTTCTTATTAACAGTTTGGTAGGTCCCTTCATATTTGATATCCTTATTAGAATCCCTAACTGGACACTAAAAATAAATTGATACAACTAAATAAATAAGATTGATAAAATTACATGTAGGTCTGACCAAAATTTAAAACTTCCAGTGTTTCGTAAAATCTATCTTACCCTGCTGTCTTGTACAGAAACTGTTAAGCAGACGTCGTCTAGAGAGTCTATTCCGATAATGATAGTGTCAGAGGCATCGTCGTCAAAATAGAAAAACTTGTGTCGGGATTGAGATGGAGATACTTGCACTGTATAGTTTTTGTCTCTATCAATGAAAAATACTTTTTCCTCTTGCAGAGCTACCGTGATAGAGACATTAACTGGCGAAGAGGTAGATAATGACACTATGAATGTTTGGGTTAAGACAAGTGGACCAATGGAAAATTCTAGAATTTTTTTTGTTAGGAAGTTATTTTTGATTTCCTACCTTTTGAATTTGGAAGTTGTTATAAAATGTTTGAGTAAATTGACAAATTGAATTTCAACACAGATGGACGCTTTTATCCAGCTCGGAGATCTAGTATTACCTATCTTTTCAATGGAGTGCAGAAAAAGCAAAAGGGACAACTTCCTGTTTTGTTTTACATTTATGTATTTTTTCATTTATTTGCAATTCACCTACCTAGTCTTACAATTATAAATTGTTTTGGTTTATTCTTAAATAATTGGATCAAAACTTCTGATAAGATATTAAAAGCCTAGGGAGTAAAGTTGGCTTCCTCATCCTATGTAGTATATAGTACGCAAATTTTTGTCATGATTCATAAGTTTTTTGACATTTTTGATTGTGTAGAAACCTTTATTGTTTATTCAATTATTTAAAACATTTGGACAGCAAAATTAAAGGAACTGCTCGAGAGAATTCGAGAGAAATGGAGAAATTATCGAAAAAAAAGGTATTATTTCGTCTTGTCTCGAAGTGTTTTGTGGAGAGAAGCTTGGTCTATCCTCTCGTCGGCACAACCAATTTAAAAAATTTAAATATCCATCTGTCTAATACATGATTTTGAAGCAACTTCCAAGTTCAAAAGCTCATAATTGAATTTCACAATTCTTACCTGAATTTTGTGAATCCGTAATAGCATCCATGTCATCGTGGCACAAAGTTTTCGAAGTATTATAAAAATAGAGAGTTTTATTTTTATGACTGGTTTCAACCACATCTGGAATGGTCCATGATGATACTTGTTTTGCCTGTCGTACCACTATTAAGATGGGAAGTGTCGCAGCTGCGTCAGAGGAATATGCTTTAACTGTATGTGGATTAATTGCCTGGAGAAAAAAGATGCAATGCTCAGAAATTTATTATTTTTTAGCAATATTTAATCATGCCTAATAGGCGAAGAAGCAGGACGAAGTTGACGGGCCCAAAATGACTTAGTCTTTCGGATATAATAACCTTACAATAAATATTGCCCAGACGATGCGTCGTAGGCCTGGTTTATGTAGAAAGCTTTATAATTTTTAAACTTGGCAAACTTAACTATAGTTTGATGTTATAACTTGGATAAAAAAATGTCACAAGTTCCAGCGGCCGAATCAATTTCCTGAAATTTTAAATAGATACCTAATTGATGCGAAAATCGACAACTCGATGATGCTTCAAATACATTGGCTGAATAATAAATCTGATAGTAGGGTAGGTACATGGTGTAATAAAATTGTAGATAAGATGTTACTCACAAAATATGCTGATTAAAAAACATTTGCCAATCTATCTATTAAGCCAATATCAATTATCAGTGTTTTCAAATATGACACATGTTTCGCGGTAATAGATTCATTTTTTATATTACATAATAGTGCTATAAATAGCTACGTATAGTCCTAATCAGAATTGGAATCTAATATTTGTAGAATTTGGTGGAGTTACACACACATTTATCCTATCAACCAGATGTGGTGGATAGGATAATGAATTACAACAGCCAATAATTGCGAATGTGTTACACTACCCTGGCCAATTAATTTGCCACGCTTTTTCTGTAGGTACAAAAAAAAAATATATTTTTCAAATCCAAGATTGTAAGTCCAGGTGTCTAAGTGCGTTTCAAATTAAGCCCCAGGTCAATTCGTAGACAGGGATGGGTGAGTTTTGGGCGCCACTGACCTTTGGACAAATTGGCCAGATTCTCCAGGATCCCAACCCAACAGCCATTAATTGCGAACAGAGATGGGCAGTAGCTAGCTACCAAGTAGTTAAGCTACTAGCTTAGCTACTTTTTTGGTAGCTAATAACTTATTCAAGCTACTTTGAAAAAAAAGTAGCGTGTAGCTGTAGCTTTTGGTAATGTGTTTCAAGTATTCATAAGCTACTGTCAAAAGTAGCTATAGCTACTTAAACAAGCTACTTAAGCTACTTTTGGTAAATAGTTAATAGTTATTTAGGTATTAATGGCGGAAAGTGTCATTTACCGCCCGAGGGTATGGTTAACGATACTTAACGCCCAAAATACTTATTACGTTTTATGCGCAGCGGACTCTTCTAGTTCAAAAATGAAATAACTATACCTATAATATAATGGCATCCATTCGACATTGTTTTCAAAAATAAACAGTTTTCCCCTTATAAAGGCACGTTTCCACCAACCTTTCGCCCGCGTTTGAATTTACCGCTCGATAAAAGTAACTTTATACTTTAATTGCTCAAGCATTTTCCGGAAAATTCTTATCCTGCCTTGCTTAGACTAGTTTCTAGTTATATCTGTAGGTACCTATGTTTTATGTGTCCTATTTTAAGGTAGGCGCAGACCAACGCGGGACTGCGGTAGCAGGAGCGGAAACGGGAACGATGCGTTAGATGCAGCAGCGGCGAGTTTGCATAGTATGCACACCAACGCGATAGTTTCCGCCATACTGGAAACACGTGGTATTGTCCAAACAATACAAAAACATCATCAGTCTGCGCCTACCTTTATTCTCGCATTCGCAGATCACTGTGATCAAAGTGAACCTAATAAATTAATGTCCAGTGGTTTTTGACAAAAATATGAATACTACTTCCTCGACTACTTCTTAGAGAAAGTTAATATGTTATTTTCGTATGATAATATTATGAAATTAAATTAGGTAAGGTATGTACATTGATGGTGGCGATTGTGCACGCTTTTTTGTTTTTATCAATTTAACTTTCAGAAAAGTAGCTTAAATAGTAGCTTTCAAAAATTCAAAATGTAGTTAAGCTACTAATAGCTTAGCTACTTTTTCAAAGAGGTAGTTGAGCTACTGAGTAACTTAGCTACTTACAATATAAAGTAGCTTGTAGCTTGTAGCTAGCTACTTTTTTCAAGTAGCTTGCCCAGCTCTGATTGCGAATGTGTTACCCTACCAACTTCTAATCCACTCTCATACCAACGGTAATCGCCGGTTGCCTTAGTCTTTACGACTAACATCTTAAAATTGATGAAGGACTTGACCGACAGGTCTCGGTAGCTCAGTTGGTTAGAGCGTTGCAATAGATATGCGAGGGTCCTGGGTTCAAATCCTAGTCGAGGCAAGAAAAGAAGCGAAGTCCATAAGCAACGAACAAACAAACAAACAATCATTGATTTTTATACATATATTAGATAAATAAATTAATTACAGACTTATTGAAGGGTGATAAAGGGAAGCATGATGTCCGTCAAATTGTTTATACGGGCGTTAATTAAAGGCACATTTACTGTCCTCTAAAGCGTCAAAAGTACTCATAAATTATGCCTATATGAACCATTTTATCTCTTCAGATGGCTATTTTGCATATAAAATGTTTTAATTTAAAAACCACTTACAGATGATGGTGGATATGTCAAAACATATTCCAGAGACGCGTTGAGTGTGAATGTTACATCTTCTTCGTACCGTCCATCTTTCTTAATAATTTCCAGACCATTGATGTTCCCAACAACTGTTAAGCTGACGCATAATACCCACATGTGGCGAAGCCATATATCTTCCATTTCTGGGTACCTATGAAAAAAAATCTACCATGTAGTTATCTGAATTTTAAGATGACACATTAAAGTCACTTTTAGCGAATTTTTTGGTTCTATTTAATTATTGGTTCTAAGTATAGCTAAAGTGATAAATCGGCTAACTTTTTAATCTTCTACTAGCTCACGTATTCTGTACAGAGTGTCCAACATACCATGTTCCACTATTGCTATCTCGAAAACTGTAATTATAAAAAAGTTGCCAAACTCCTGTCATACTTGTTGAAAAACTATTTTCAGTTTCCATTATATTAGGAAAAGACTGAAAATTGATCAAAATATTTTTCCCTGGATGTCTCGAAAATCAACCTACACAGATAACAATTACCGTTTTCTTTCTGTACAAAATGCGGTTATATACTGTTTTTTCAAAGTGGCATTTGACATTGACAAGTTGGTAATTTTTTTTGAAGTTCGAAACTGTATTTTCCATTGCTCACTTTTATAATTTTGTTCTCCAACACACGATATGGACAATTTTTCATCGAGATCTGTTTCAAAAATGAACATTACTTCTGGAGTTCTCTGAGAATAAAGGATGTAACTTCAGGCATAATAAAACATAAAAAAATTGAATAACGTGAAAGAAACGTTATAAAAAGAGCTCAACGTTGTTGTTTGCCTAATAAAGTAGTAAATCGTTCCTAATATATCGAGGAATGGCGGTTGCTACTTTTTTTTTTTTAATAAATATTTCATTAATTCAATTCAACCGAGTTCATAGCCTAATTACTTCGTTCCAGTTCGTTCCTCAATGTAACGAATTCATTAAGCATAAAATCCATGAATTTCTATTTTTCAATGTTCGAACGTACACTTTCATCAGTAAGTATAAAGAACTTTCTTTGAAGACTAGTGATTCTACTCCTTGATTTTATGAATAGTAATTCATAAACCACATTCATTGTACTGATGATTATTTCTTATCACAAAAAATTTGTTCATGATGCTTATGAAAATTTCCTCATTGTGTCAATGAAGTTATGGATCGAATCTTGAATCAGTCCAATCAATGAACAAGAGTTCATTAATTAATGAATATGTTTCATGAGCTTGACGTATGTGTTAGTGATTTAATGAATGTTCATAACTAAAAAATTTTATTCATTAATTCAATGAATTTTATAGTTTTGATATACACCTATTCGTCATGCTACCATAAATCATAAATCATCGAAGTACCTGCTTACGTAATCCGGAAATTATATTTCGTGGTAATGTGAGTTAAATTAAATCTTATCTATAGTGTACAGAGAACATTAGTTACAAAAATGGATTTTAAATTTAATATCCGCTGGCTGATTGGCTTCACCTTCACCTATAAATACACTGTCCTAGGGCCCGTCTGTAAAAACAAATACAACTATGGATAAAAGTTAGCCCGAGTTTTCCTATACTTAAATCCCCAAATTTGGTATGTTAATCATTGTTAAATTTGTGTTCATAAGCTACTTTATTAGCCTGAGCTTAACAATATTCAACGTAACAATAGATTTGAGGCTTTAATCACAGTTCAACTCGTGTTAAGTTGAACCTATGATTATACTTGTTCATGCAACTGAGCCTAGGATAATGCCTTCATACGTTAAGCCAATGAAACCGCATACATTGAATTGAAAAATCGATTCATTAAACCAATGTTTTCTGTCTATATTATATTGAAGAAGTTGATATTTCACTCGGGCGACGAATAAATAGGGCAGTGGACAAGGTATAATTTCAATGAAATCGATGATCTATTCTTCATCTATGGAGTAAATAAAAAATATTCGTATCAAAAGAAATTTCAGATAAAATTACTAACCTTGTTTAAAACGGCGGTAAAAGTAGAGTTTTAGGACGCACTACTTGAACGGAAATATTTCGCGCCCTGATTCTACGTCATAGCTGTTGTATTTATGTATGAATTAAATGAAACCTACGTCCGATATTCGACACAAACTTACTCTTTAGTGCAAAATAGAGAGATATCTCAGTGTCTCTCGGGTATTATTACATTTAGGCGCACCCTCAACATAACCCCACTTTTTGAGAGAATTCTATTTATCAATCAGTGCGTACTGAGTTTATCAGCATCTTTTTCTAAAAGCATGTAAAATATAAGGACGCGCTATTGGACATACATAACAGCTATGACGTAATTTCCTGGCGGTAAATTATAGCGTTTAAAATAAGTACAAATTTGTTAATTTTTTTTAACGGATATTGTTTTTTTCTAAAATCAAAGAATCATCAACAATTGTTTATTTTGTAATGAAGATTAATAAAAAAAAATACTTCAAAAAATTGTCCACTACCCTATTATATGCGAGAATAAATTCAACCGTTAAATCAATGAACCAAGAAACACTGAATCAATTTTCTTGGTTCATCGGACCAATGAACAGATCCGTCAAAGTAGCAACTCCCTTTTTTACATCTATTTAACGAATAGCTTTCCATAATATTACCAAATTCGTTCACCAGCTCAATATTAATGACGAGATCCTTTGATGGCTCAATGCACTTTTTCGTTTTATATTTGTGTACCTACCTTTTTCTTCCAGTGTACACAGAAAAAAACAAAATCTTTGTTCTGACTTGACTGACCCAGTGCAAAAAGATGTGGTTTTCCTCTCGGTGCCAACGCCTTGATTCGTGACGTTTGGCAGCAGACACATATAAAATGTCATCTTTGTCATTGTTGTTGTTGCTGTTAATCTGTTAATCCAATATGGATTGATCGGTCGATTATTATCAATTTTTTTTTATTCACTCTGCTTGCAAAATGTATTTTTTTGTAATCCATCATCATCCGCTGCATATTTAATGCAACGAAACTAAAAGCCACATTTTTTAGTTGCACTGCAATTATATTTTCTGCCCATAATATACTTGTTTTGAAAAAGTGTTCATTTTCTATAGTTTGAATCTCAGATTAAGTTTGAATAAAATGGTTTCATTCGAGAAGATGATTGTTTCACTTCAAGCCACAAAAGCAAGGAAACATTAATACGGAACTTGGAAAAGACCAAGCCCCAAACAATCTTAATTGTAGATTACGTATATGTTCAATATTTTTTACTCGATTCAAGTTTACATATTTTTAATTTAAGGACACCAGCTTAAATCAAGAATTTCAATATGTTTGAAAAATGAATATATTTTCAAGATATATTTTTCATTGTAGTAAATAGTCTTGTTTCAAAATGTTTCACATTTTTATTCCTAAAGTACGAATTTTAGTTTTGAGATTCCATCGGCTCTTTATTTGGAAATTATTACCTCTTGAGAATGATGGTTTACAATTTTGGAAGGAGAAACGATATACCTATTTCGAGAATGTACTAATTTTTATTTTAAACAACCGAATACTAAAACGGAAAGGATAAAAAATGAAATACTCTTAATTTGAGTAGGTATATGATTTCTCCGTATTATCAATGTTAACAAATATAAGAGCATAAAATACCTATTTCAAAAATATAGGTATATCTTTAATTTAATAAGTTTCACATCCTCAATTCGAAAATACTTTGAAAATGTATTTTCGATTAGAGAATATAACCGTACCGTAATGCTTGGTTTGAATTGAACGGCTTACAAGTATAACGATCTTTCATAGAAACTCTCTTCAACTATCAGTCTTCACTAGTTCGTTGAAGAGTGAAGTTCATGTAAGGTTACGGCGGGCTGTTTGAACTTCATCATTCAGTTTTTTTTTTTGTGTGGATCTTCTATGGAGGCCAATCACGTTCTTTGCCTACCCTATATGGATTGGATTTATATTCTGCAGTGTCTACACAGATTTCGTAATGTGGAAAATAAAAAAGTTTAGCATTCTGTAACTGAATTTGGGCGAACGCTGTAGAGTAGAATACTCTAATGGCCGTTTGAACCGACCATTTTGAGGGAGACTTAACGATAAGTATTCCTTAAAATGACATTTTTCACATGTTAAAATGTCATTTTAATGTATACTTATCGTTGAGCATCCCTTGAATGGTCGGTGCAAAGTGCAAATGGCCATAAAATAGCATACAAAAGTTTACTTTGAGCATATCTCAATTTTTATGGCGAAATTACCGTCCTCTTAAGATGAAACTGGGATAGCATCACACAAAGCAGATCTATATTATTAGATGGAACTGACATATGCTCAATTCAAGTTGCTATATGAATATCTAAAAGTTTTGGATGAAGCGATATATCTTCAATTTGAAATAAAATTTTTATTTAAAAAATCTGAAATACTCAAACGAAACATCGCTTTTTGTTAAAAGAAACCTAATATATTGAGAATTTGCTATTCTTATTCCAAGGCGTCATAGTCTTGAGTATATGCAAAGCTAACTTATGCTCGAATTGAGCTTAAGCTATTTGAACCAAGTATTTTGGTTTTTGCGTGTAGGTACTTCCCAATTTTAGCTCCATTTTTTAGTAATGTATCTATTTTTGTACATACTTATGTAATAGAATTGTTTACATTGGTGGGTCATGGAATATAAAATTTCTCACAATAAAGGGAATAATTTGATACAAACACTACCAAGAAGCTTTGAGATGCAAAACCTACATCCATGTATGAAACATGTTACATGGTCAGATGGTAAATGTCTGAGTCTGGCCTGGGATTTGAAATAGTTTAAATTTCGACATTTCAGATATATGTACGTAGGTGCATTATTTATACTTGGTCATTTTAAATCTAAAAACGCTTAAGATTGATTGTATTGTACCAATACCAACTAGCGTCTCCGTGGGCGCATGACCTGCTAGGCCTACCTTTTGCCCTTTTGTGTAGCAGTAAAGTAATAAAATTTTGTTGCTAAGCAAAGTGATTTAAAGAATGGGCAGAAATTCAGCAAAGTACAGGTAAACATAATATTGTTCGTGCCTAATCCTGACGGCTTAATGCTAGCGTCTGCAAAGTAGTTGCAAATTCTTGAACATTCTTCTTCTCTAAATAACACTGCCTTTTCGCCAAAAATTCTAACAAACTGCTTGGACAAAATCGGCATATCGTCGGGAAAATCACACAAGTGCAGCTAATTACATGTCATTTTTGGCATCGCTTCTTCCTTCCAGAGGCTTAATCCTAAATTGAGAATTTTGAGGATTTACTATATTGATACGGAATGACATAGGAGAAGCCGGCTCCACTGTTAACGACGAGAGCTCCAGTATTCAGAAATTTCAATAGGTGATATAAATAAACAAGTACGTATTACCTACATGATGCTACCAGACTGCTCGCTTGAATGTTTTTGCCAGTTTCAAGAAGAAGCCCGAAGGCAGGACGAAAAAAAAAAAGAACAGGATCATCTTCAAGAAAATACACATTTTCTGAGAGTCTGAAATATGAGTATGGAAACGTGGGTTGTAAGATCGGGTCATGCAGCGATCAAACTGTATTTAATTATCAAAATTGTATGTCTGGCACACTATTGGAAACGCTATCAAACGATAATTCTCCTCCACTTTTTAATTCCATTTACACTGTTTACGCATCTATAGGCCGACAAAATATTTACCCAGGGAGTATTATCTTATTTAAAAAAACAAATTTTAGAGCAAAATAAAAAATTACCGTACGCATTATAGAATTGATAAAAATAAAAAGATTTAAGTTCATAATTACAATAACACAATTAGGAGAATCGAATTTTAAGTCTAACCTAAGCAACACAAATAATGTCCAAACAAACTTTCTATCTAAAGACGTGGCCTTTAGCCCAATCAAAAGCCCTAATAACTGAACCACAGACTCAAAATGAGATGGCGAGCCACCTTCTAGTAAGAGGAGCTTGAAAGTAATTTATGGTTCATAGGTTGAAACACACTAATACAAATTAAAATTGGAAGCCCTCATAATTTTATTATTCTAGATATCTGTGAGAAAAACTCAATTTCGACATAAAATGTTTGTCTTCAAGTTGCAACAAAACATAGTATTAGATACATGAATTTTCATGTCGGGCCTAGGGTTCTCATGACTAGCATAAAATAATTAATGTAAATTCACTATTTCCTTGAAACAAAAGTTAAGTTCTTGTTTTGCATGTATGCTTAATATCAGTTAAAGCTATATTAACCCTTTACAAATTAAATCGATTTTGCATTTAAATTCATACTTCAGGATGCAGCATAAGCCATAAAAGCTTTAAGGTAGATGATAGATATTGTAGATACATATATTTATATAACAACAGTAATAATAAATAAATAGCTTGCCTATTATTATAGAGGTAAATCCTTATTAAATACCATACAACTATCCTAATGCACCATCAGCCAGAACGAAATCCAAATATAAATTGTACTTATTCTCACAAAAATTAATTTTTGAGAAACGGTAAAAATAATTGGTAAGACATTAACTCATCCTACCGCTTTTATAGATGTACATTAATGAACTAAGGCCGATCTCTATCGAATTCGTCAAAACTTTTTCTTATCTAATCAATTATTTAGCTATGGGTACATAATAAATCTAATGCTATTAAATTTTGCTGTTCTAGCACGTTCCAGTTTCGGTTTAGATGTTATCTGTTTTTTTCTATTTGGATATTTTTTTGCTCTAGCCAATTTATGACTCATGACTCCAATAAATAGTTTCTCTTCTTCCTATGGACTTGGACTAACGCCACGGGAACTAATCTGTATTCAGATTTCATTTACACCTAATTCAAACAATCAATATAGCGCGAGTAGTATGTTGTCAATTTTAATTATTTGTTGTCGAGAGATGGAGACTTATAGATGGAATGATCATGGATCTGTGCGTAATTTAGGTGCAACAAAATGTGATTTTTTCTTGATGTCTTCAAGAGAGCAATCAAAATTTTTCATAATCAATTTTATTTCAAAATAAATCAGTTTTCTCCCAAAGGAAAAAGTGGCCTTCGTTTTACAAAGTGACGCTGGTGAAATGTTACATTTGTTTCAACTAAAGAAACCCAATTTTGTGATAAGACACTAGAATATTAATCGTAGGCTCTTTCCTGGATATTATTTTATATTATGAGTTTAGCCATTATCAAACTTTGCCATTATTATCGAGTCTATTTTCACCTTATTTTTCGGAAGGTATACCTTTGTTACTTTTACCTTGCTAGGAACTAGAGGGTCTGAATCGATAGTTGTTATTGAATTTTTCATGATACCTGCAGCGACCTATATTTTTATTAGTAATTACCTATTTATTAATTTTCCAATATTGACAGAAAACATACTCTTTCTGGTAATTATACTTTATTGATTGAGAATATACCTGGGTAGGGATGATAAAAAGGAAAAATGACTAAATTTTCTCTATAGCCCTTCACAAAAGCAGGTAGGTACATAATCAAAACTAGATTGAAAATAATCACAAAACATTTAATTTTGACATGACACAAAACCAATAAGTTACGCAATAATCAAGTTTGAATCAATGATTTGACTCCGTCTTTACCCGAAATCAATGTCGTTTTTTTACTAATATTTCACCAAGATGTTAGGAATGGTACAGACTTTTTGTGTGCGTTACGAATTTTACTGGTGGGCCGAATACCTCGGAAAATCGATTTTTTGTGAAGGAAAAAATCCAGAAAGCGTCATACTCGTCGAGATCGTTCCCCAGGATCTTTAACATTAAGGGAAAATACTCCTACGTTGCCACGATTCCGCAAGGTCTGATCTTATTTCCCAGAGGCTCTTAGAGCCTCAACAAGTCTGTCATCTCCAGTCGTCGTAGTTTCTGTGACACTCAGCTGACTCAGCTTAGGCTTTAGAGTTATCAAGGTCCGTGTGAAAGTTGCTACCGTGTGATTGTTATGTAGCAACATTCACACATTAAAAATCTTCACGCACCGCACATGCGTCTCTCAAAGGACAACACCATCAGACATCAGTCCAACGCAGTTTTGTTTAAGGAAGGCTGTAAGGCATCTCATGCTCTGCACCTGCAAGCGAGCAGCCCTATTTAGGATCCAGTTTGCTCACCCTGCATTGGGAGGGGGCTAGAAAAGGTGCCCCAAAAATAATCAGTCTAAGCACAAGGTACAGGGTTATCCAACGAAAGTGCTTTTTACCTTATACACCTGTTAATTGAAGAGGTACAAAAAAAATGTTAAATATAAAAGTTGTTGGGATTTTCATGAGGAATTAGGAGCATTTATTTTAAAAAAAAATGAAAGGCGGCTTTAGAAAATATAGCAAAAAATTTAACATTTCTTGCCTAATTTAAATGCAATAACCCATTTTTGAATATGTTTTTGGTTTCTACATTAAATTTTAACCCTGATATACGTTACATGCGTCCTATAATTGAATTCAGCAATTTTGGAGGTATCGCTAATCAATGATTTTTCACTATATATTACGAAAAAAATTATATTCGTCGTTGGAAGCTGGTAAAAGTGGTAAGTTCCCCCCTAGTCTTCCTTATTACTATTCTTTATAATCATTACATTCAAAAAGTGTCCAATATTAGATGAAATATGCAAAAGTTTGCTTAAATCCAGCTTCACCTGATTCACCTTCTACGTAATTTACCTGGTAAAAGGTGAACCAGGTGAGCCTGGATTAAAGCAAAATTTATCGTATTTGATCAAATATTGGACACATTTTCGATATAATAATTAAAAACAATAGTAATAACCAAGACTGTACGGGAACCTACCACTCTTACCAGCTTCCAACGATGAAATATAATTTTTTTCGTAATTTATTTTGAAAAATCATTGATAAGGGATATCTCCAAAATTGCTATGGGACATGTAACATATATCAGGACTCAAATTTAATGTAGAATCCAAAAACATATTCTAAAATGGGTCATTCCATTCAAGCACAATTTAAATTAAGCAAGAAATGTTAAATTTCTTGCTATATTTTCTAAACCCGCCTTTTCATTTTTTTTTAAATAAATACTCCTAATTCCTCATAAAAATCCCAACAACTTTTATATTTAACAATTTTTTGTACCTCTTTAATTAACAGGTATATAAGGTAGAAAGCACTTTCGTTGGATAACCCTGTACATCTCATGTGGTACAAAAAGAACTTAAAAATTAAACACACCGGGCACCACGAGATCACTTTCCGGCTGCCATTTTTTTATTTGTTCATTGATATCAACGAAACTTGGTAGGCTTGATATTCTAACGAAATGCCATTTTTGTGCATTCATGACAAGTTTTCCTGACTTCCGGTTTCACCGAAAATTACCGAAACTTTCGATTTCCAAATGGCACACCCTGTATATTTTTTGTTTTTTGGATTCTACAGATCGTTTTGCGTCCTAATGTACCACTTTTAAATCGAACTTTGTCCAAATTTCGTTTCCAAATTAAATTTTAAGTAGAAAAAAAATAATAACCTACATAATAAAACAAAAATATTTGAACGAAAATTAGGCAAAATGTCGTAGTGTATTATATCGTTGGATTCGCTTCGAAATACTGCATTTAGTAATGTTATGAAAGTGATAGTATGTTCCTATTCTAGTTTTTGAGCTAGGGCAAAAATACTAAAATAATGAAGTTTACAGCCCTCTATCAAAAAAGTTTACAAATATAAAATTCAGTTTGTATTTTTTTGAAATTAAGTAAAGTATGTAGAGTAGTGTAGTTTTAGGATGATCATGGCACTCTAGTTGAAAAATTGAAATTTAAATTAAAAACAAAATTTGAACAAAACTTGATTTAAAAGTGGTGCATTAGGACGTAAAACGATCTGTAGAATCCGAAAAACAGAAAATCTACAGGGTATGCCATTTAAAAATTAAAAGTTCCGGTCATTTCCGGTGAAACCGGAAGTCAACAAAACTTGTCAATAATGCATAAAAATGGCGTTTGGTTAGAATATCAACCCTACCAAGTTTCGTTGATATCGATAGGCAAATAAAAAAATGGCAGCCGGAAAGTGATCTCGTCTGCACCCGGTATAGTCACCTGGAATGTCCACTCGCTCATGGATACCTACAACCACGAGTTACGAAGAACAGCAATTGTGGCTGTGAATAAATGTATAAACCTCAAAAAATAGTTTAAATAAATTATAGTTTATCGAGTGCACACATAGTATAAATATCATTATGCACTATGAAGTAGGTATTCTGGGGCCTGGTTCATCAAACTTTTTTATATCATTATAGCTAATTATATTAGTCTAATGAAATCATTTTATCTTAAATTGGTTCATAATATGAACTCAAGAAATCTTAATGTATGGGGTAATTGCGCTAGATGGCAGCGTCAAAGACCAAGTTCTCAAGAGCATAATTTGTTCATTTTAGATTTTTTGTTCATATCATATTAAATCTTTAAATAAATATGTATTTTATTTATAAAATTTATAAATGGGAGGAAAAAAAATAGTGTATGCAACTCTCATGTAAGGGCCATTAATACACTTGCATGTTATATACGAAAATCGCCTGCGGCTTGTTTTCCATCCTGCACAGCTATCATTACGCGCCAGTTATCAAAGTGTTTTTCCGAGCTTTCTATGGAATTTGTGTAGTTCTCAGTGAAACATCAAAACAAAAAAAAAGTTTAATTTCTTGAAACACTTTTTAGTCAAAAAAAAGCTCTAAAAAATCTATTATGAGCTACATTTTCTGCGTTTCGAAACAAGTTTCAAGCCACGGCTTAAGTGGGGAATATGAGTCTCTAAGCAAAATGGCTCCAGCAAATGGACGCCAACCTTCATCCATTCTTGCACTCAGTAAACTAGGTAGGTACCTACTTATTCTTTGATACTCTAGCATCACTTGCACTGCCTGGCCAGTTAGCCTTAACGTAATAAAACCCTAAAAATGGTCCACTCACAAGTCACAAGCATTATGTTTAATGTGTGATTTCCGTGACGATCAACAAATGCATGTTTATGTTCAGCTAAAGCATCGATGTTACTAAGCGTCCTATCATAACAGCCCCACAAACAAAGCGCAAGCCAGATATTTCATTGCATCCGTGTATCACTGCTCCAACTTCATCAGGCCAAAAAACTAGATAGTTCTCTGGTTAATGGAGAAACTAACCATAAGTTGCTGGTTTGGTGTTAACGCATGGTTTCGTCTAGTACCGTGAGTTAATCTACCTATGTTTTAATGCTATCGCTACCCCACTGGTAAAACCCTCTTCCGCCGACAATAACGTCAAGAATACTGATAATTAAAACTGGTGACGCGCTACCACTGAACATGTTTCCGCCGTTGCCCAAGGAGCGTGGCTTCCCCTGTGACCATCGGTTCTCTCTTTTTTTTATCTTTTTTTTTTGCGTTAGCACCACAACAAGCTGGATTGTTCGATATACTTACCTAACTTACCCATCACTGAGTAGTTACAAGAAAGTTTATCACTCGAATAAGGAACAAAAGATATGATGCCAAAATTCAGCAGGAATTCAGGCTGGTAGGCCATTGAAATTCGAGGGCGGTGTTTGAGATATCTGGAAACGGATATTGGATTGAATCAGAGTAACCAAAATTTAACCTCTTATATTACCTATAAAGTTTAAATTTGTTTTCTGAAACATTATAATGTTATCTTATTGGCTTGTAAATAGCCAGAAAATAAAGAAAAATTACTTTAGTTGATTGAGTAGTTATCAATTTGTTATCGTGGTATGATTTGGAGTAGAAATAGGCGCGTATTGTAACTTCATATCCTACGACGTTATAGATTGACGTCCATCTGTATCGCGGTATGATTTGGAGTAAACATACGTGCGTTTCACAGATACAAATCATACTGCATTATAGAATGAAATCCATCTGTATAATGGTATAGAATGTACCTAAATACGCTTCCGAGAAGGATGCGGGTGTCTGGCTGACTAGACCACGCGTTATCTATAAACAGTGTCATCCCAATCTATATATTATTTGCTGTTTTATTCCACGTAATATTTAGTTGTGTTGCTTGATGTTGATTATCACCATTTAAAGAAATAAAAATTATATGACGCCTATGTCCTTTATTTGTTTGATGTATGCCGACACTGCTTCTGATGTGAAAAAATGATTTTCTGCACTAGGGCGGAACATATTTTCTGCACTGGGGCGACACAGTTTTTCCGCAAAAAAAAAATGTTTTTCGTAGTTTTAGTTCATCCTATTGTCAAGAAAATGTCTCAGGCTCAACTCATCGCATTCCTGTTGATTTGTTGAATCTTTTTGACTAAGCCGGAAACCGACTTATAGATTCCTATAAAAACAGAAAATTCATGCACGGTTCTTCTTTGACTTTTCATCTCTTGAGTTGTAAAGATAGGGGGCAACGTTAGGGTCTAGAACTCGAATACACGTGGTCCTTACCAAATCATCCGAACAAATACATTTGACTGCAAACTGGACCAATGTTGACCAAGGTAAATAAGTGACGTAGAAGGGCTGCTCCACGCTCTGCCCCTCCTAATTAGATGCATTTTCTTGCCAATATGGTGAACTAAAACTACGATATAGCGTTTTTATTCCATTCTAACATTTGCTGTAAAAACTTTCCACGTCACGAGGAAAATCGCATTTTTCGCACGCTCGTAGAAAACGGAAAATTCTGATAGCGACTCAAGCATGCGCTCTGGAACTTTCAGGGAAAAGACAGTAACACATTCATTGCACCACCATGTATTTTAAACAATTTAAATCCTTTCACTTTTATGCAATATGCAATAATTGCTAGAGTAGCAAGATAGATACATGTTAGGTAATTGATTATTTAGGTATACGTTCATTGTTCATTTATTTTATTTATTCCAATAACAAATGTTAAGTACATTTAACTTGTTTTTTTTTTTTCACAATATCTGGTGTCACAGTTTTTGTAACAATACTCCTCTGAAACGACTTGAGGTCTGAGAATCGGTCTTAATCTACTGTTACTTTTACCCATAAGAGCCGGTTTCTCAATATCGAGTCACCCTCGGGTAAGCATATCTAACTCCAGGGTAAACATAACAACTGGACACGTAACCTGAAGTTAAAACTAACCCGGAGGTGACTCGCTATTGAGATTCCGGCCCAAAGTGATAAGGGTGGTCCACCCCAAATTTTATTTTTTTTTTATTTTTTGGACAACATTTGTTATTTTTATATTTTTATAATGTGGCATTAAAAAATACGTACAAAATGTTCACTCTTCTACCACCAACCCCTGTCTTTCAATAGCGATATTAACTGACCCGGGTACTGTTCTCTGTTCTTTTCAATATAGTCGAGTTAATTATCTACTAATAAAGTTGAAAATGTTTCAGTCGATCTGAAACCCTACCGGATTGAGAATAGAACGTTGGGCGAAAATTTAAATGTGATTGGCAAAAGAGTTTTGAAGAGTTAAATTTGAACACAAACCACCATATAATTATATTATCAATAAATATATTAGGTGTGTGTTTAATTTTAACTCTCCAAAACTCCTTATTACCAATCCACATTTGAATTATGGTGCAACTTGGATACTTAGAAATATCGGTAGGTATCGAATGGATACTCGAACTAAATGTATCGGATACTTTGGAACCTATGTGTTGGGATTGTTGATAATTGGGATTGGAAATGACGCATAACTAGCGGGGAATCCCACAGACAACAGTCGCAAAGTCTATGTAAATGTCAAGGATGATACACACTACTACTACAGGATGGCCTATCCTCATAAGGCCTGTCTTACAAATCCTTCCCTTCCTCCCGCCCAAAATACCAGTTGTGACGTAGGTAGCATTTTCTTTTTCGCCTTGACGTAGGCTGTTTAAACAGCTGACGATTCAGTTATGACGTCGAAAATGGTATCACACCAATATGGCGGCGATTACCAAAAACGAGGCCGATAAGCACTCCTAGACCCTATTCTTGCGGATTCACTCTGAGGATAATGGATAGTAGTGGACCAGAGTATCCAAGCATTTGAAAATAAAGTATCGAATACTCCAAAAATTTAGCAAAGATCACTGAGCTAATATTAGTATAAAATTTATTAAACGTAGGTATTAGAACTACTGATTGAGCCACAGCAACGCGTGGCCGGGTCGCATTTAGCCATTCAACTATAGATTTCGGCACCCGCCTCAATTTTGATTGGTTAATTTTGAGTACAACTATATAGAAGGTGCGGAATTACGTAGTAGATTGTTGGAACATTGTCCGAAAAGAGAGTGCAATGTCAAATGCTTCAGTTGATTTATTTCAAGCTGCCGCCAATACTATATGCCAATACGTGGTGCTCAATGTGAATGTGTTAGTGGATTGTGCGAACGGTGGTGAATCGAGAAGTGGAATGTAGAATTGATTGGAGGTTATGTTATGTTGATTTGTTTATCGCATTTTGCAGATTTGTTTGCGTTCTACTCAATAATATCCATCATAAAATGAAAAAGTTCAATCAAAATAAATAATTTGCTTTATCGAGGAATATTCAAAAGTCCGGACGAAGTAATACAGTGCATTATAGGTCTGTTCCTGTTCTCACAGAAATCAAAAAGTCAAAGCGAATTTCTTTTTTTGAAAATAGTCAGAAAACTGTTTGTTGGCGATTTGCGTTCCAGCAGAATCTAATGTAAGTTTAGTACCTATATCACGATAAAGAAATGATATTCAATGAATAAAATGCTTTCTCTGATAAGGCGCGTATTCATACAGCAAACGAACGCGAACGAATTCGCTCCAATAAATTCGCCCGAATTTGTTCGGCGTTTGCTATAAAATTGGTATTGTGTCCATATACGAACGAAATAATGCGTTCACTGTCATTCGTTTATTTTCGCGGGTATATTTTAACCAATTCATCACAAATTTCTTTTGATGTACTGTGAAGCGAACTCTAGCGAAGGCGAACAAGTGTTCGGTCTTGCTTGTCGTGACGTCCACATTAACCGAACAAATTTGTTCGTCCGCATTCGTTCGCGTGTTACGCAACCTAGATGTCGCCACCATCCGGCAATTTGTAAATCAGTGTTTACATTTCCATACCAGGTGTCCCACTAAGGTCGGCCAGGTACGATATTATGGAAACCATAGACCTTACGGCTTCGGGATTTTTTTTTTCTTCGCTAAATCGGCCAAGAGAAATTGATGGAAATTATTTTCAAGTTTCTAGGATGACCGCTAGGGGGCGCAATTACGATGATATAGCTACAGTGACTCTATAACCCACAGTGGCGACAATTGCTGTCTCATTTTTGATTGGTTCTAAAATCGCATATATTTATATTGAAAACACTGCCATCTTGTTCCCAACCCCTTGTTACTTTCAAATATGAATATATGGGATTTAGGTGAACATTCATCATAAATCATGGAAAACAACGTATTTGATGGACCTAATACTGATGGTCATCAAATACGTCGATTCCAATTTTTTATGATAGATGTCCATTTAAATCCTATATATAAATATTTAAAAGTAACAAGAGGTTGTAAAGGTTTATTTAGCCACTGTAGCTATATCTACAGTGGCTAAATAAACCTTTACATACAGTGGCGACAATAGAGGTCCCGCCGGTATTTTGTTCCCAACCTCTTGTTACTTTTAAATATGAATTTATAGGATTCAAATAGACATCTTTCATAAAAAATTGAAATCGACATATTTGATGACTATTATCAGGTCCATCAAATACGTTGTTTTCCATGTTTTATGATGGATGTTCACCTTAATCCCATATATTCAGATTTGAAATAAGCAATAGGTGGGAACAAGATGGCGGCGTTTTCAATATAAATATATGGGATTTTAGAACCAATCAAAAATGAGACAGCAATTGTCGCCACTGTGGGTAATAGAGTAACTAGATATAGCTACAGTGGCTAAATAAACCTTTACATACAGTGGCGACAATAGAGGTCCCGCCGCCATCTTGTTCCCAACCTCTTGTTACTTTTAAATATTAATATATAGGATTTAAATGGACATCTATCATAAAAAATTGGAATCGACGTATTTGATGACCATTATTAGGTCCATCAAATACGTTGTTTTCCATGATTTTGATGGATGTTCACCTAAATCCCATATATTTATATTTAAAAGTAACAAGGGGTTGGGAACAAGATGGCGGCGTTTTCAATATAAATATATGGGATTTTTGAACCAATCAAAAATAAGACAGCAACTGTCGCCACTGTGGGTTATAGAGTCACTGTAGATATAGCTATAAATTCAACGTTTCTCAAGAAATCGCTATATTAAGATACTGTTTTAACAACAGAAATCAAAAGTTCATTAATTTTTGCGCCTGTTTGGTTATTAGGCTTTTTTTCGTATCTTCAGTAATAAGGGTGGGGGAAGCTGGTGAAATTTTTTTTTTAGAAATTGCTGTATCTTCCATACCCCTCATTCAAACTCATTCAATTTGGGTTTATTTGGAAGAGAATTTCATTGTTATCAAGAACACCACTTCGTTCGAGGTCGATAGTCCCCACCGCGTCTTCTAGAGGGCGCTGTTTATTCAAGATACAGATTTTTCTAATTTTCATGAAAAATCCAATTGGCATAATATTATTATTGTATTGCTGTGCTTAAAGGTGGTGTGACCTCAAAATACAACTTGCTTTCAGAAAATAAAGAAAAAAATTCTAAGAACTCTTGTGAAAATCTCGCATCGCTACTCAAAATAATAAGGTAGATACACCTGCATAAAGGTTTGTCTATTCATCGCGTGACGTCAAAACCACGCGACGACCGTGTTGGCCGGCTCAGGGTGCGAGGCGCGTGTCATTACACGCTCAGTAGTAAAACAGAAGCATACTTATGTCAAGATTTGCCAAGGAAAAAAAAAATTTAAATAATTTATTTCTTTTTCATTTAATTTAAATAAAACTTAATGTTAAATTAATTAAACTTACATGGATAAGTTTTCTGAAAATTGCATAGGTACTTATTTTTTTTTTTAAATAAAATGGTAGGTGATTATGGACGCTTGATTATGCCGCCTCGAATTCCATGAACCCCTCATATTAATCGTTTGTCTCTGGATACCTTTCCCTTATTTGTTTGACGACACATGCAGGAATCACAATTCTGTTATATCGTCCAATTGTTGTCCAGCTATTGATCCACGATATAAAGTTTTTATATGCCATATGTGTCGCCATAACTTTTTGGTGTTGATTCTATATTTATCTTTTGCCGCTTTTGTTTTGCACTGCATGATTATGTTATGCCTCAAAACAATGTTTTCAAAACTGTCATGTGATGTTAAGCAATTATTTTCCGCTCTAATTTCTGTGATTAGATCATTTTCGCAACAACACAAACACTCTGTTTCTGTGGGCATTATTATACAGTGTAACCATGTAAGCGAATTAAGTCTTTCAGGGTTTTTGTCAATTTTTCCTTTTTCCTCGTCGTTTTTTAATTTCTCAAGTTCTTTTTTAGAATATTTTGGTTCAAAACCAAAAGCCATTATTATTGAAGAAAAACTTAGAATATCTTATCTTAAATTAAAAAACCTATTTAAACTTGAAACTTATTGAACGCAAAAACAATACGATAATCTCGATATATGCAGCAAGCATGAGCAAACGCGCGCACAACGCCGGCCGGCGAACTCAGCTGAGGTTCTGACGTCACAGTGCTGGGAGTAGCAACTTCATACCACGATATCTTCACAACGGTTGGTCGTAGCCTAGTGCGGTTTGAAAATTTGTTTTTTGAGTTTTTTTTTTCTATAACTTTTATTTTTGGGTCACACCCCCTTTAAAGAGCAAAAAAATATCTACATTTTGGCGCAAACCGCAATTCAATAATTGCATTCGTTTTCAAGTTACGTAAGGTCTATGGTCTCCATAATATCGTACCTGGCCGACCTTAGTGGGACACCCTGTATAATAAAAGTCAGTTAATTTTAAAATAAAATTTAACTAGTTTCAACTTTGGTAGGTAATTGCCTTTCTGGCTCGTACCTTATTTAATTATTGATCATTGATAAACTGTTGGTTCCCGGCGAATATTGATAACAGGGATGCTATTTCTAGTACAATTGTACTAGATCTAGCACAATCACGTTTTACCTAGTACATTAGTACCCCTTTCATAAATCTAATACAATTTGGATGATACCAATGACGATAACATAATATTCAAACAAGTGATATTTATTTACCCCCAATTAGCAGAGAGCAGAGCAGAGCAGACCCCGCACAAATCTTATGGAAATTGGATGTATGTCAAATGTGCTGAATTTTTGATATTTTGAAGAAGTCCTTATCACAAGTTACCATTGCGCTAAATTCGAAAAATGGACAGTTTTTGAGAAAATCCCTGGTAAAGAAATGCGTATCATTCATAAAGCGGTTAGCGGTGCTGCGGAACGGGATGTTCAGGTGTGTCGGTAGAGTCTCTGATGGCACTGGAGCAGTTTCAGGAATGACACAGTCAGTGTGAGTGTGACACCGGTGCGACGCTGTGTGCCATCGGAGACTCTACCCACTGACCTGAACATCGCGTTCCGAAACACGGCTAACCGGTTTATGAATGATACGCATTTCTTTACCATGGATTTTCTCAAAAACTGTCCATTTTTCGAATTTAGCGCAATGGTAACTTTCGATAAGGACCATCACTTCTACAAAATATCAAAAAGTCAACACATTCGACATAAATCCAATTTCCATAAGATTTGTCCTTTCAAAACTTGACGCGCTGTCTAGTACACAATGTCGCCAATCTAGTACAATTATTCCCTACTTTCTAGTACACTTTTTTTAGAGCTGATAGCATCCCTGATTGATAATTGGTTTCCAAACTAAAGCCTAGTACTCATAACTGCGAAATTCGCATTTTTTTTACATTGCTTCGATAATTCGACGTTTGATTCACGCATAAAACGTCAAATTGTCGAAGCAATGGCAAAAAAATGCGAATTTACCAGTTATGAGTACAAGGACAAGGCATAACTATGGTTTCCCAATATTTCCAAATGATTTACAAACGATTCAATATTATTCATTATCATCTTAACTGCCTGCTAACTAGCGACAGAATCGCATACTTGTCATCAAAAGGATAAAAGCACGTGTTTTATGCATTGCGGTAGGCCGCAACAGTTCTACCGCAGCGGCAAAAACGCAGTGTATGATCCTACACTACTTACAACCTGTCTCTCTGATCTGAACATTTTACTCCGAACGCGCAGCACGTACTCGAATGTTTTCGGCAAATCAGGACGTAGGTATCTTCGCGCCGAATCTGAAAGCGCCAAACATTATCCATGAGCTGATAATGGGAAGATCGGGAAAGGGCGAACGAAGACAGTGATCACTGGCGTTGATCGTTGGTTTCTATGTATTTGTTTGTTCCCACGCTGCGCGTTCGGTTCGTTCGGAGTAGACTGTTCGGAGGCACCTTTTGTGAGGGGAAAAAGCATAGATCCGGAGACCGATATTTGTCATGATTATGAGTGTGGAAGGGAGCCTAGCCTAGCCTACGCCTAGCCTAGCCGAGCCTAGATCTACACGCCCCCTCAGCTCAGAGCCCGGATTCTATTTCACGAGTCGAGTCGAATTCTCTATGACACTCGATATCGAATACAACAGCTCCGGAGGCACCGTGTAATACGTATCGAAAAATAGAATCGCTATTTTGACAATTTGATACGAATTTCGACTCGTAAAATAGAGCCTATGTTCCGATATCAACTGTCAGTACTGAATTTACTGGACGCCGTTCCGATATTATTTTCAGTAAACTGGATTCAGTCAATTCAGAACTGAATGACCACAAGAGTACGCTGTTGGAATCGGAAGGGCAAATGACAGTAAAATCGGCACAGTAAATCCAGTACTGGCAGTTGATATCGGAACATAGCCAGAATCCGGCAGCAGGAAAAAAGTGAGCGACCTGTAAGCGGCGCCATCTGTTAGGGATACTAGAAATTAATACCGATTGAGACGAGAAGTCCTAACTTAACTATACTATACTATAACACCAATAACTAAAACCGGAGTTTTTCTCCATATATTGATAGATTTCCCTCTGTTTGGAAGGTTAATATTTGGTATCAAATTTATCCGTGAAGTTTGATTATTTTTGTGATTTAGTGAATGGAAAAAAATCTCCGATTGATATACCCAAAGTGCCCAAGATTTGTTATTTGTGTTCTGTGAAAGAAGTAAAGAATGATAGCGTCATCCTCGATAACGGGTTTACTAGCAAACAAAACAAGGTACCTATTCCTAAGGTATCCCTTAGGATGGAACAGTTTGAGTGTATATGAAGAAGGAGTAGGAGATTTTAACTAGTAAACCAAGAACGAACTTTCGTATTTATTATTAATAATATAATAATGCAATTTTCTTTATTTATGTCAAATGTCAGCTGGAAAATAATGTTGACACCTATGTCACTTGGAAATGTTTTGGTCCAAAAAAAAAACGTTTATTATTTATGTTCCCATGGGAAATTCTACAACCACAAGTAAGCAATTATCCTTTTCTTGGTAAAAAATATCTCTAAATCTCACAAAAGTAATCCAAAACTTTTATTAATAGGTTTGGAATGTGATATGGACTGCTACCATAGGCCCCACACATTGAACCAAGATTTAATTTGATTTTTGTGATACATATAAGTAGAATGGACAATATCTTAAGGATGACTTTTAAGTAACCGAAGCTACTGTTTAGAGGCGATGGATCCGGGAATACCTCATGTACCTATCACCACCTTAGCAGGTGTTGCTAGTCTTACGGATTGTAAGGCAGCTTTGCCAGCTGAATATAGCATTTTGAAAGGTAAATTTAATGTTTGTGTTTTAGTAGTACAAGTAGTAATAACAGGCTAACAGTACAACTATTGTATATAGGTACAAAAAAATAAAAAGTGTATTTCCTATATGAAAACCAACCTAAAAATACCTAAGTGATTTTGCTATTGTTTTAATAATTTTTCACATTCTTGTATCAAATCGCACACAGATTAGTTGATGTACCTATATCAATGGTCTCCTGCCACTCCTGCCCACTATAGGTCTGTTCACACAGCAATCACAAACCAGTCAAAGCAATTTTGATTGGTGCAAATCTCCAACAACCAATTTTCTGACTATTTTCAACCAATGAAATTTGCTCTGACTGGTTTGTGATCTGTGAGAACAGACTTTATATGTCTAGAAGTAGTTTTGACTAATGTTTTCACTATCATACTTTATACTTTACTCCAATAGTGGTAAAATGTTTGATCCACAATAAGTTTAAAAACATGCCTAATTTATGATTGAATTTATATATTAGTACACAAAATTCATTCTGTACCTAGATGTTGTAAACATCTGTATGTGTTCTAGATATAATTTTTTATTTCAATTGGTCTGTTCATAGAGGAATCACAAACCAGTTAAAGTGAATTTCATTGGTTGAAACTAGTTCTGACTGTTTTCAACCAACGAAATAAATTTCACTCTGACTGGTTTGTGATTTCTCTATGAACAGACCTAATTTTATATTCAGTTATTACTCCAGTTGTACCTACAACTAAAAAAAAAAAAAAAACAAATGTACCTGTGCAATTCAATGTTTTATACCAAAAGAATAATAGTATTTCAACTTAAAGTGTTAATTTTTTTTTTTTGGATTCAGATTCTGCATACAATTATACAAATACAATACATCATCTAGATGTATGTCCAACACAATACTTTGTAACCCATTATTTTGTTATATAATAATTTAAATTTTTATTTTGTTAATAATAATAATGATAATACAAAGTTATCAAGCCAAAGTTATTAAATCTTTCATCAAACTTTGATCAAATTGATGGAAATCGCTTTTTTTGACTGTTTTTCGCCTATGGTCAAACTTCTACATTTTTTCATGGAAAATGGTAATAAATAATTGTAAATTTTTGCTCCCAAATGGGCCATAATAGTCATAATATATACTTTAGAATTTAGATTGAGAATGTTCTTGCTTACTGCTATACAGCTCTGGCAAGTCAACATCTTACAGGCCAATTTTAATGCAACAGAATGAAATGCCCAGAAAAAGTCCAAGGTTAAATAAAGAATGCAAACGATTTTCCCTGTTCCATCTCCAGCATGGTCAGCGCTGGAAATTCTGAAGGTGGAACAAGGGAAATCGTTTTCATTCTCTATTTAACCTTAGACTTTTTCTAGACATTTCATTCTATTGCATTAAAATTGGCCTGTAAGATGGTCACTTGCCAGACCGGTATACACTCATCTAGGGAACAAGAAATATCTGTCTTTTAATTTTAAGACAAAACAACTTTTTTTAAAGATAACGTGGGTATTATTCATTGAACAAATCTTATCAAATTTACCATATCAGCATTTTTTGCAAGCTTGCTTAGTTAAATATTTTTCAAATAAAATCAGCAAAAAAACTGATAAGTATAGGTATTATCTTGTTACCTAGACCATTTTGATGTATGTATTTGTAAATGATTTTTTTGCTATGGTATGGTATGCTTATAGTTAACAAAATGCTGTGACTCAGACTTTTTATCCATGAAAATGCATGCTGCTTCATGGATTCCGAGAAACGCAAACGTAAAACGTAAATATGTTTTGCTTATGCAATTTATCTTGATACATTTTAATTCGCTGTAACTTTTTTGTTTTGAAGTGAAATTTATTAGGCGGCAGTCTAATATTTGGGACGAGAATTATGGAGAGTGTATATAAAAGTTTCATATTTTTGCCGATTTGTCAAAAACAAGTGGACTAAAATATGAAGTGTGTTATATCATTGTAATCGGAATAAGATATTCTATTAAATACATATACAGGGTGTTTGGTGCATCGGTTGCAAAATTTAATTGCCCGGAAGAAGATGCCATTCGCTAACTCTTCAGCCATAATAACTCATCCTTGACCTCACTGGTTTTTTTTTTTTTAATTTGTTTAAAAAAAAAAAAAAAAAAAATCTCAAAATTCGCCATTTAAACTTAAATTTGAAAAAAAAGTTGTTGGCCTAGCCTCCAAATTTTATTTTTATTTCTTTATGTACTGTGGTATGGTTCCACCAAATACAAAATTACTTGCCATTAACGTCTAGTCTTTTTATTATGAACTGATAAAATTTTTGAAACAGGTAAAAATAAATTGAAAAGTGAAATTTCCATTGCAATAAAAAAAAAACTAAAATCGATCGTGATCTTCAAATTTTCTTGAAAAGTTTCCCAAATGGCACATTCTTCTGGGCAGTTGAATTTGGCAAACGATGCACCAAACACCCTGTATAATATACAGGGTGTTCCATTTAAAAAAAAATATATAATTTAGGCTTATACACTGCCAAGCATAAAATTAGGATCACCCCATAATTTGCAATTATTTTTAAAATTTTTGGTTTTTGCGAATTGTTTTTTTTTTTTTGGTGTAAAGTTCACTAACTTTATGCGATGATTTTGTCGTAGTTGCTTGAATTTAAAAAAGTTCTTGTTATTTTGCCCCAAGTTTTGCTTGCAAATTATGGGATGACCCTAATTTTATGCTCGGCAGTGTATATCAGAAAATTGATAGTGTTTTGTTTTACATATACTTATGTTACTTGAAAAAAAACTTGGCTACTAACCCTACATTTTATTTTTTTGTTTACCTTGATATCTTTAAAAACAAAAAAATTAGAGCGAATCAAGTAAAATTGAAGGCACAGTACAATGGAATTCCCTGAATAGTCGCTCTAGGGTTAAACCTCGGGTTAAACGCCAACAACTGGATTCTCAGAATCTGACCGGGCTCTTGATGCAATTTTGTAACAATATATGAATCTCACCCTACAAATATAATTGTTAAAAGTGAATGTGGTCTGTATACCTAATGTATTTTCCTTGAATTTAAGTATAAGTACATGTTTCTGTATTATGTTTAGTTTTTGTGGACTCTTAATACTACATGACCTGACAATGGATTCAATGAAGGCGTTAGACACCAATATGAAACATTTTTTTTATTCAATAATAATTCTCTCAGTAAATGAAATTTGGGTTCAAGTTTCTGTATTTCATTAGAGAGATATTCAATTTGAGGTTGGCATTTGAGATAGTTGTCAATTATGATATCCAAATATGTATTATGTAGATGCGGTTTTTGATATTCTGATCATCAATAGTTATGTAATTAAACAATGGTGTATTTACATCATTGAGGGGTAAAGCTGTAAAATATTTGATAGATTTAATGTTAATTTATATGTCAATAGCCAATTTCTTATAAACTTAAATGGTTTATTAACATTTTCCTCACTATTTCCCATCTATTGATGTGTGATCTGCCTAAGGTACCAAACTACCTCCAAAGGCAATTTCAATAATGAATTAATGCAAATTATAAAAAGTACAGGACCTCAAGACTGCTCCTGAGATCCCTATTTTAATTTGCTGCTTGTCACTTAATGTATTATTAAATTTCACCCTTCGCAGTCTATTTGATAAGTAGTTCTTAAACAGTTCGTGTGCTATTCCATGTTTTCTATAACTGTATAGAACAACAAGTAACTTGTCATGAGGCAGAGTGTGAAAAGCTTTGGCAAGATATAAAGATATGTCCAGACATTTTCATTATTATGCAGGTTATTTTAATTTTCTGTCTAGTTTTCTGGTAATAATGTATGCATTGCATCAGCTGTGCTGTTCTTATCAAGAAACCTGAAAAACAAACTGGTTGTGGAATAAAATATTGTTATGTTTCATAAAATCAATGAGTCTGTTTTTATGGCATTCCTCTAGTTTTGGGAAATTTTTAATTAAACTTATAAGGCGTATAGTGCTTTATATTTTCAATATAATTTGCCCTATGAATGGGTGTTACAATTGTTATTTTACATTGGTTCAGACTATTGCTTTCCCAATATTAAAATAAATAAGTGCAATAGTGGTTCGGTTATTTCTGCATGTGTTTCTACTATATTTTTTTCATTAATGTTATCATGCTTCACAAAACTTATAAAAATATTAAAATATGAGGTTTTGGAATGGTGACCACACCTTGCTCGTCATTAACAGTCAACACGTCTGACTTAAAAATGTTGATATAAAAGCAATACATAGAGTAGATTCTTAGATATTTCATGTCTGTTTTTATTCTCAATAAATTTTAGCACAGTGGAACCATGTGCGAGGACTAAATAAAGAGAATCTGTATAACTGGCTATTGACAAACTATATTATTAATAGATACTTATGTATTTAAATCATCGTTTTTTTTACATAAAGTTTTTCTCTTCTAGTTTTGCCAGAATTACCATTACCTACACCATCTCCGCAAACTATAAGTAACAAGTCATTACTTTTTCACCCAAGGGTGGCAGAGGAGGCACAAAATTTACTTGGCCACAATAATGAGGGCCTTGTTCCACAACTAGTAGCTTCTTTAGAAATAACAACAGCAGATGACATGTAAGTGTCTAAATAAAATAATAATAATAAAGTGATTTGAGAAAGCTGAAAAATCAAATATATACTTTCCTTATAATATTTCTCTAGTCACCTCTCCTTGTGTATTGTTTAGGGCATGTTTATAATTTCCAATTATTGAATTTTTCAGAGAAGTAAAAGATAATTATGCAGGCGCTGATTCTAGATTGGAACAAAAAGATGGAATGCCACATTTATTGAAAGCTATAATCGATTTAAATCCTGAAGTATTCAATGGAAAAGGTATGTATTGGATTAGACAAATACTCACAGAATCCTGGCAACATGTAATTTTTTATAGGATATCAACACCCTTCACGCCATCAACGACAAACTCAGCCATCACAACAATTTTTGAGACGACAAGAATTATTACAGGAAAGCCAAAGTTATAGTTCACAAGCAACAAGTTCTGAGCCACAATCTCAAAATTCTCAATACAGTGAAGCAGTCGCTTCTCAGGCATCACCACTAGAGGCAAGCCAATTACCTGAAACATTTCAACCTACTTTAGATGTCCCTGAACACAAGTTACCTGAACCCCAACCTATTGAAGACTATCCCCAAATGATCCCAGAGCCTTACAGTGCAAATAATATTCCGACCTCAGTTATACAACATGCAGAACCTGTCAGAGAAACTGAAAACTCCCCTGAGATGAGAGAATTACCGCAGCTCAATACAAGCCACATAATGGAAGTGGATATACCTACACCAGTTACTCCATCCCCAGTTATTTCTGAAGTTATATCTACAATAGCTGAAACAGCAACAAACATTCCGGGTTCAAATTTAATTAATTCAGTACCTAGTGGATCTAATTATGTGACTACCACCAGTGAATTAAGACAATTACGACGGCCTTCAACTAGAGGTATGTTGGTTTTTAGGCATTCACAAGCTTTTTGTGTTTGTCTTATATTGACCTAATAAAGTGTGCTAATATGTTTTCTTTTTGAGCCATACCGGAACATGGTATAGGTTCTAGAAAAATAATAATTTTACCAGCTAGTTTCTAAGTAAAATGATAAGAAAATTAACATTCCTTTCCTAACATGTTCCCTGACGATCATCAGCCAGTTTGTATATTAATGCTCCTTCCTAATGAACTATTCATGCACAAGAAAAAAATCTTTTGAAAAACTATGCTATTTGGATTTTTTTTAGAAAAAATCTAATAACTGTTTTTAGTTTGGGATCATGTCAGACCTAACAGTAGTAACAATACCGATATTCATTCGAAAATACAAACTGTACATTTTCCAAAAAAAAAAAAATCCTTAAAGGCAGTGCTTGAAAAAAAATCATCAATTATGTATTATGTTCCTTTTATTAGCTGATCTTGATCCTTGAATATTTAGCATCCTAAATTTCATGAATTCTTGTCTTTTTGGAAAGAATTCTATAGTTGCAGTAGAAGTTGATTTTGTTTAAAAAAAAAAGTTATTTTACACAAAAACATATTGAAATAATAAAGGGTGCTCTTCAGAACTCCGAAAAGCACAGAGAACAAACTTTTTGGCTACAAAAGAAATCAAATACAGCTTTGATGGTGAGAAATGTTGTTTTTTGAGAAGCACCTCTGAGTTTTAGTTCTGAAAAGTAATTTTCAAAGGAAGAAAATCAAAATACTATTGAGTGCTACTCAGAACTATGAAAAAAACCTACAAAGAATGCATGTTACAGTCACCAGAGCAATTGGATGCCACTTTATTGCTGACAACTTTTGTTTTTCCAGAAGCACCCCTGAGTTCCACCTTTAATAAGTTATTTTTCATAAAAGAATATTGAAACACTCAAGGGTACTATACAGAACCCAAATTAAAACACACGTTTTGACAACCAGGAAAATCAAATACCGTTTGATGCTGAGAACTATTATCTTTCGAGTAGCACGCTTGATACCTAGCTTTGACAATTGAGTTTTAATAGAAGAATATCATTTTGATGCCAAGAACTATGGTTGTTCTGGGAAGTAATTTTTAATAAAATAATATTAAAATGCCGAATAGTTCTAGTTTTGGAAAATAATGTGCCTTTTTTGCTGCTTTTTTCCTAAACTAAATCTATATGTTATGAAGAACTATAGAGCTATAGTGCGTAGACCAAGAACTGTCCTCAGAACTCCTGTGAAATTAATTAAGGGTGCGATATGAAGCTAGAACCACTTTTTTCGATTTTAGAAAATTTCAACTTCTACTGCAGAACTATTACTGCAACCCTCAGTTCTATAGACCGAGAAATGTCAGAATCCTGTAAAATCAATTAGCACCCCTATTTTTGTTTTTTATGAATTTCCAACATCTACTGCAGAACTATAACTGCACCCTCCGAAAACTATAGAATTCTCTCCAAACAGGCAAGAACTCATAAAAAAGTTAAGGGTGTTACAAGTTAGGGTCCTGATCTTGATCCCGCGCAATCTAACAGATTTACAGGTAATTGAGATTTACAAATATATTAAACATAAAAAAATATTTTCAGGACAACCTATACTTAGAAATACCATAACAGAAGAACCTCAACCGCTACTCAATCCTACATCCTTGATAGCATCCACAAATTCCCAACTTTTAGACTTGGGTCCATTGTCCGGAGGACAAAAGGATTCCTGTATGGCCGAACAGGAAATTAACGCATCTGCTTCCCAAAGTACAAATACCAGAAGTATAAAACAACCTGTTGTTCGAATTGTAAGAATCTCAGACAATGACCAATCATTAATACTAGAAAGCCTCCAGGACTTTGTGGAAACCAAACCCAAACTTGCCAAACAACTTGGAATACAGTTGAATAGACCTGATTATAATGAAGATTCGGACATAGAGAATAAAGAAAGAGGCACTAAACGTAAAGCCACCAAAAAAGCTTATAGAGAAAGTGATGATGAATACAATCCACAGGAAGACTTGGATGCTACTGATACTTTTTCAGTACTTGTGGGTAAAAGACGAAAAGTAGCAACTAGGGATGAAGCTGAACCAGAGTCTTTTGTTCTTAGTAAACCGAAACTAAGGAGGGTTGAGCGTAAATTTGTTACAGTCCAACAAAAACTTTCTAACGAAGAACTTATGGAAAGTAACACCTATGTACGTTTCAATAAGTCAGTGGAACATGTCTTGAGAACAGCAGAAGATATTGATTTTGCGGAAATTGGTAAGCAAATTATTTGTTTATCTTTGATTTTCAATTTTTGAGATGACTTACTTTCATATTGGGTTACAGGTAATAGCTCTGTCTAATATTTCTCTTCACTATTGTCTTCTGAAAAAAAAATGTGAACACTGGCTAGGCTAAAATATATCAAAATCGAAAAGCTTTAGTCAAAATGCCATATTGTTATTGGATGTGCCCAATCATTTTACTTACATCCATATGTGACTTCCATGATTCAGGCCACTGACCTTGTAATTGTTAATTGACGTTCATGAGTATCTACTATTTATGATCTGCTCAACTTTACTGTTAAGATAAAGTGGTTCTTAAATTAATTACTTTTTTAGCCAATGATGATATGATACAAGATGAATATTTACTTAGTCGTTCTATTATGTCAGATTTATGTACTGAGGCAGCTAAGTTGAAAGTTCTTGGTGCCATGGAAATGATACCTACAGATAAACTAATAAGATTACTCACTATATTAGAACTAAATATTCGTGGCGGTGATAGAATATCTCCCATAACAGATGTAAGTAATTTTTACTTTGTACCATTTTATATTTTACTACATTACATGAATTATTTTTCTCAGGAAGCTAATGAAAGTGTACGGCAGTATTGGCTAGAAACTACCATGGATAGAGTTTTGGGTGCTGCAGATGCCTGTCTAATCTGCTTGAATATTATGACATCTCCAAATATGTCAAAGAAAGTATACCTTGAAGAAATTATGGACAGGGTAGTACTGTATATTAAATATCACTTGTCTAACACAATATTTCCAAGCTATGATTCTACTTATAAACTGGACAACAAGAAAAAAGATGGAAGGAAGAAGAAGAGCACGCCTGGTTCAGGCAAAGGCATCGCTATTTTATATACGAAAATTTCAGAGCTTGTCAATTTACTATCAGAACTCTTAAATATTCAAATTTTAACTGATATGTCTGTATTGCATGCTTCTTCCATGGGTATCAGTCCATTTTTCGTTGAAAACGTTAGTGAACTACAATTGGCTTGTCTAAAGCTAGTCACTCTGGTAAGATAATGATCATATCCAAATATTCTTTTGTTCACTTTATGGATAATATTTTAGATATTTACAAAATACGAAGCTCATCGCAGACTACTTCTTGATGATATTTTAGCGTCAATAGCCCGTCTTCCTAGTACAAAACGTAGTTTAAGAACTTATAGGCTAAATAGTGAAGAACACATTCAAATGCTTACAGCTTTAGTGTTGCAACTAATACAGTGTGTAGTTGCTCTAGAAAAAACGGAAAAAGGGAAAAGAGACAAGGAAAAAAGAGAAAAAGAAGCAAATCAACAGAAGGTGAATTATTTTATAATAGTTTGTGTCCATGTCTGACAACTATTTTGTATGAGTGATTAACAAGATAATTTAAATTCCAGAATATTTTGAAAAACCCATGTAATAAGCAAAAATGAAAATAAGCATGTATACCCAAAAAAGTAAATAAACCTCTTGGCAAAATAAAAATCAAATCAACATTAACTGAATAATGTTGCCAGAATGTTAAATTTTTTCTAAAAATAAGACTGAGCTTAAAACTTTGAAGCTTCAGTACTTGATCGAAATGCAGGATGAAACACTTACTACAACTTCTCTGTTTTGGGTTTTAATAATGTGTGTGGAAGTCTAAAATTGCTTTAGATCGTTTTCAGTCCTTGTGTAACTTTCTGATAACATATTCGTATTTTATCCTTTTTTGCTGAATAAAATGCCGCCATCAACATAGATTGAAGAATATGAAGTACCTAGTATTCTGATTATCGAAAAAAAATTGTTCAATTTTTAGTTGAATAAGGCCTTTTGGTAGTGGAAATTCAGTAAGGCATATACATTCCATTTTTTTTGCTTTTAAAAAAATCAATTTACATAAGTTTGTCTTTAATGCAATTAGTTAGTAAAATGTTGTAATACTTTTGTCTGCTGGTCAATTTTTAGTAACAAAATATTCTTTATAATTTTTTAGGTTGACGATGACATTCTAGTCTGTAATAAGTTTGAGAAAGCCACGATAACAGCCGGTACATTCCTAAAGGTTTTTCTAAGCAAGTGTGGTAGCAAAACCCAAGAAATCGATTATAGGCCATTATTTGAAAATTTTGTACAAGATTTACTCTGTACTGTAAATAAACCCGAATGGCCTGCTACTGAACTTTTACTTTGTTTATTGGGCAAAATGTTGATGCAGAATTTTGCTAACAAAGGAACTGATATGTCGCTCAGGGTAGCTAGTTTAGATTACTTAGGAGTTGTAGCTGCGAGACTTCGAAGAGATAGCGTGTTATCAAGGTGCAAATTGAATTCTATTGATCAAATGATTAAAGATATTAGACAAGAAGAGATGAAAGACAATGATGAAGTTCAGTCAAAGAAGAAAAAAAAGGAAATGACAAATGACGAACGAACTCAATTTTTACAAAGAATCCTGCTTGATTTTTTGGCAGTGAATTCCCAAAATGATGAATCCTTGAAGTACGCTAGGCATTTTTATATTGCTTGGTGGTATAAGGATTTAGTCAGTGAAAAAACCCAACTCATTAATGATGAGAAAAAGCCCGCGAATTATGGCTCAAGAAATGGAAAAGCGAATATAAGTGATGATGAAGAGGATGACGAACCCATAAATATTGAACAAGAGAATGTCCAAAAATTCCGAATAATAGAAGAAAAGAAAAAGCTGCTGTTAAGTAGAATACCGCCTTTTCAAGAGGGCATCTCGTCTTCATCTGGAAAAAGAGTACAAGTATATCAAACATACATTGACTATAACAGTGCGGAACTAGTTGCCCAGTTCCTTGCATCCAAAAGATACTTTTCCCAAAGTTTTGATCAATATTTGAAAGCTATATTGATAGTGCTCAAGGAAACTTCTATAGCCATAAGAACAAAAGCTATGAAATGTCTTACTATGATAGTAGAGGCAGATCCATCAGTTTTAGCAAGAAATGATATGCAAATGGGCGTAAATCAGTCAATTTTAGACCAGTCGACTTCAGTTAGAGAAGCAGCTGTTGATTTAATAGGAAAGTTTATTTTAAGGCGACCAGAACTTATCGACAAATATTACGAGATCCTTTCTCCCCGCATTTTAGATACTGGTGTTAGTGTACGGAAACGCGTGATTAAGATTTTGAAAGATATCTGTATAGAATGCCCTGATTTTCCAAAAATACCTGAAATTTGCGTAAAAATGATCAGAAGAATAAATGATGAAGAGGGGATTAAAAAGTTGGTCATGGAAGTATTTCAAAATATGTGGTTTACGCCTACAAATAATGCAAATGCTTTGCTAAGGAAAGTAATCCATATTACTGATGTAGTTGCTTCGTCTTCAGATTTGGAGTGGTTTGAACAACTACTTTTGAGTGTAAGTAGTTTTGAATTTATCGATTTGCTTTATGCATAATTATTACTAAAAAAAGCCAGAACGGCGATTTTTCAGCGTTATTGTCACAACAAAACCTTTTATTCTCTCGATTGCCCGACATAAAGTAAATGCGGAAAGTTGTATACTTCTCTCTTGCAAGTTGACTCCCACCCCCACTTTTTCAGTCATTGAAAAGCATCTAGCATTTTCTTTTGGTGAATTATTTATCAATGTCAATCTTTAATCAAAAGCCAGACAATTTAAGATCATAAAAAAAATGCTGCAGATATTGCGCCCAGCACAGAACCACTCTTAGTGCTTGCAGATAAAACATGACTTACGTTCCTCTAAACCCATATTGAATTCTGATCCTAATAATTCACAAAAATACTTGCTGCTAACTAAAAAAAAATACAACGTGTAATCATACAACACACTATGGAGTGAAACTTCTTCAGAGACACAAACATAGGAAAGGGGTTAAGGAATTGGTATAATCGTACACTTTTTTATTCTGTGTAATAATATTTAAATCAAGAAAACGAAATATGAAATTCTATTTTCCTCAAGCAATCTCCACTACTAAATCGACTACGTGGCAGCAGAGAGGATGCCTAGCGTTGCATGTGTTCGTTACTCGCAACTCGCATAAAGCAAACTTACCCTACTGTGCGTAAAGAAGTTTCACTTCAAAAAGTGTTTCATTCTTTTCTATCCCCTTATAAAATATTTTCTCTACTTTGCGTGATTGAAAACTTCGTTTTATTGTACTATTTCACCAGTAATAAAACTAATTATTTCAGCTTTACAAACCTAAAGAAGATAAGGATGATTCGACTAAAATCAATACAGAACCTTCAAAAGTTCTATTAACAGCTTGTAAACAGATAGTAGATTGTTTAATTGAAAATATACTTCGCTTAGAAGAACAAGATACCTCTCGCAGCGGTCCTACAGAAAGGCTTTTGGCTTGTGTATCAACTTTACTGTGTTTTGCCAAAATCAGAGCTCAACTTCTTATCAAACATGCCAGTACCTTACAACCGTATTTGGGCTTGAAATGCATTAAAGATGGTGATAATGTAACTAAAATTATAAGTTGCGTAGCGAGAATGTTAGAATTAGTAGTGCCTTTGATGGAACATCCCAGTGATTCATTCTTAGCCCAATTGGAAGAAGACACAATAAAGTTGATTTTTCAACATAACAGGCCTATTGTAAGCAGTTGTCTCAGTTGTTTGGGGTCTATTATAAATAAGGTAAGATTTTTCATTATTAAATAACAAAAAAAAGGTATCTCCAAGGAAAAATAATTGGAAAAAACGCAGTGGGAAACAGATTCAAATGTCGTGTGTGTATAATATCCTCGCCAAAGAAATATTTATTGGAACTCTCATCGCTGTAATATTTCTAAGGCTAAAACCTGAATAATAACCTGTATTATAATGTATCCAGAATCGTGTACAAGCAATCAAATGGAAATTTAAAAGTTGTTTTTCCTATAAACAAATATAGGTTCTGTGCGGCGCAAATCAATGTTTCGACGGATTTATTGCCCTAGTTTACAAATTTAAGCCATATTTTGAATTGTTGGGCAATTTGGTACACCCTATCGAGTTACTCTTCTTTTCTTTCTGTTTTCGAATTGAGATTAGGGTCGAATATCTGTGTGCCTGAGCATGTTCAAGGAGGGAAGCAAGATTCTAGCATAGTCTTGACTGTGCATAGTTTCTTTTCTTAAATTTAGGTCAGAAACTATGTAGTTTATAAGTAGCTACTCGCTGTTTCTATGTTTTAAAATTTCCAGGTAACACACAATTTCAAACTGATCCAAGATTGCTTTAAGAAGTTTAACACAATAATCGGGGATTTCAAACTTAACCTAGAAACATACAATGTAGAATACACAAACCATTTGAAATACAGGTTCCAGTTGCGCCGAGCTCTATATGTTGTTGGCTTACTGATTCGACATTTTGATTTTACCAGAGCTGAAGTTCTTGGTGATTTACCTGTAAGTATATTTGATTGTTAGTATTGTAAAAATCCAAAAATCTTTTTTTTTTTAGACTGATACTAAAGATCAAGCATTCAGAAATATGCTGTATTTTCTTAAAGTAGAAGATCCAGATTTCCAAGATAATGCACTTAAAGCAATTGGTCAAATTTGTATAAGACATAACGAATGTATGTTAGAGCCAGAACTGAAAGAGTTCTATCATAGGATGCTAACAATCGAGAGTTCTCCAGTATATATGAAAGTGGATATTCTAATCAATATTAAAAATTATCTTACTGAAGAGGAAAACAGGATGTTACAACAAGACTTTGAATGTACTGTAATCTCTTTTAATAATATATATTTATTCTAAATATAATATCATTTTAGGGTCAAAGCGTGCGAAGCAAGAAAATCTTAAAGAAATGAATGATGTGTCATCTGGAATGGCCAGTACAGTAATCCAACAATACCTCCAAGAGATCATGAAATGTTATCTTCACCCTGGCTGGGAAGTACGACAACCTGCTTTGCAAGTTATCCAGTTGGTTTGCGACCAAGGTTTAGTACATCCTCTCCAGTTTATCCCCTCCCTTATATGTATGAGTACAGACACAGAAAAATATATCTCTCAGATTGCTGATAAAACCTTATCCGATATTGATAAGAAATATCCAGGATTTATTTACTCGCAAGCACCAACAGGAATTGAGATGTCACATAAATTGCAAAAAATTATTCAGAACAACTCAGTAATACGAGGATTCATTGTTAGGGAAAATGGTGAATATCCAGTGTCAGTAAACGCATCTTTGTATGCACTTCTGAGAAATTCCAGACAACAGAGACGTGCCTTAATAATGAAAATTTTGAGACACTTTGATGAACAAGCGGTAAGTTACCCATGATTAGATACATATATATATATATATAACTTGGTGTTCTCATTTCATTTGTATCCTAGACCTCTATAAATTGCGTTTAAGGTTGGTCAGAGTATTTTGGACTGTTTTGTTCTAAACAATAAAATATTTTTTTGTTCCTCATTCAGAATTAATTTATCAGTGGAGGACCAACCATGTCAAAGAATTCGTTAGTTTAAACTATCAATTCTTATAATGTTTGCCTGCTGATTCTGATAATTAGATTTATGTCATTTGCATATTTGATAATATGTTGACTCGAAGATTTCCTCACATGCATTAGGTTGTTGAAAAATTCTATGACCATAATTGGGCCCAATCGGTAAATCACACTTCCCACGTCGCTATGAACAATTTTTGAGAAACCTGTTTTTTTGTATTTCTGGGAAATATTTATAGGAATGTTTGTTTTCAATTACATAAAATTAATTAAGTATTCGATATTATATTTTTGAAGGTATAATAAAACACATTTTGCTGAAAAACATTTGACTTTTTGTGATAATAATTATTATTGTTTACAGCGTTCCAGTTTGCCCTACATGTTGTATTTGGCTGACAATCTAGCATATTTTCCATACCAAGTGCAAGATGAAGCCCTGTTTATTGTACATCACATTGATTTGTCGGTATCCAATTCTGGAACAAACTTGTTGCAATCTTTTAGAGAGGTGTGCTTAAAACTCATAATTAAATGTTTTTATTGTAGCTTATCCAATATTATATTTGCAGGGATTAATACCTGATCAAAACAAAATAGTCGACAGTGAAAATGCAGAGTTCCACAACGTTGTTTCAGCGTTAGATGAAGACGATGATGAAGAAGCTTTAAGTGGACGGCTCCCCGAAAATGTTAACCATTTACAAGGCTGTCTAATAGCAGCACAAGGTTGTCTTTTACTACTGATGCTAAAACAGCATATCAAAGATGTTTATGGATTGAGCGATGGGTGAGTGAAGCTTAAAAATATGTCATATTAAATGATATTATCAATGTTTATTTTTGTAGCAAAATCCAATTATATTCTCCCTCTGAAGCTGTGAAAGTGTATGAAAAAGCAATGCCAAGGAAATCAAATGCTCTCTTCAATCCAAGGACAACACTGCAAAAATTGAAAGCAGGTATTCCTCCGGACTATCTTGATGAGAACGGCCGAAGAGATTTAATTCGACAATATTTAGACGTAAGTGTAATATTGGTTGGTATGAAATCTTGATAAACATTATTTTTGTTTTTGCTTAGTTCAAGCAATTGATGCTTCAATTGGATCCTGCGGATGATGGTGACGAAGACAAAAGTAGCCGAACTTTGATCAATTTTGGAGGAAATGCTGCCTTAAACACAGCTGTTTTGACTGAGGCGGACCAAGTTGTCCTCCAAAATTACAAGGTATGAATTTAAATGCTGGGACCAGCTTATATTATGTACGGTCGTCAGGTAGAGACGCTTATTTGATGAAGAGTACTTCAGTAGGTTTCGGTAGTCAGCTATGCAATTGTTTCCTGATAGGCCTGAATGGGAGAAACTAAGCCAAACTTACCCCAAAAATGTAAATTGAACCCAGCTTCTTAAAAGTGGAAATATGATTTGCGATGATCTAACTGTCAAACTGATAAAAAAACACGTGGTGCGGGGTTGAACGGCGAACATTATCAAAGAACTGGACAATCTTTACTTAGTCACAAATAAATTTTCAATTTCATAAAGCTTGAGTGACACTGAAAAAATAAAAGATAATGTACCTATGTAAAGGGTGAGTCGCCATATTTTGACACCCACCTTTAGCCGTAATTACAGGTGATAGGTAAAAGGTGTAATTACAAAAGTTGTAGCATTTTATCTGAACCGCCAGAATTTTTAATTAAATTGAACAAATGAGCAGCGCAAAGTAAAAAAATATGTCGATGTTCACTTTTTTTTAATGGAATGCCGTTTATTTTCTTCCAAATTCTTAAAGTACTCGTTTTTCTGATTCAGATTATTTAATATGTTAATGATTCTTTCAATAGTTTTGGGAATACCTGGAGTTTAGTTATTCAAAAACAGTAGTTTTTTGAATATATTTTACCTTGATTTACCTGTCACCTGTTCACAAAACACTCTGATACGTGAATAGGTCTTTGAATAACTAAACTCCATATATTTCCAAAATTATTGAAAGAAACATTAATATATTATATAATCTGAATCAGAAGAACGAGAACTTTAAGAATTTGAAAGAAAGTGCATTCCATTTAAAAAAAGTGAACATCGACATATTTTTCCATTTTGTGTTGCCCATTTTTTCAATCTAATCCAAAATTCTGGTGGTTCAGAGAAAATGCTACAACTTTTGTATTTACACCTTTCACCTATCGCCTGTAATTACGGCTGCAGGTGGGTGTCAAAATATAGTGACTCATCCTGTACATATATGAAGAAAATACGAAAATTCAAACAGAAAAAAACTCTGCTAATTACATTAATTGTTTTAGGATCAATCTCCTCCCAAAGTGCCGAAAATGGTGATATCCCATAGACGATTCGAAAGTGAAACGAAGCGGACTCCTCGAAGTCACAGGTCCTCTGAGAAGGGGAGAAAAATACGGCATAAAAAGAAGAGGAGGAAAATTGCCAGTGATAGTGAAAGTGACGAAAACGACTTTAGTGACCCAGACTTTTTGGTTTAGCAAATACGGCAGGAACAAATAACTGAACTGCATAGTGATTGCTTAGTTAAAATTGGTTACTAAATCGAGAATAATGTAATATCAACGGTAATATGCATTCAAACGAATACTCCCCAGTTGATTCAAATTAGACTAATTAATGCTTGCAGAGAGTAATTCACATTCATATTATAAATATGATAGAGAGAGATATATTGTATGTGAACCTCTCTGTGACCATTTTAGGGTATATTTTCACTTTATATGCATTTCTTTATATTTATTCTTTATATTTATGTGGGTGGAGCCCACAAAAACATATCTAGCCAATATCCTAGTCTCAATTTCAATATTTCAGAACAAATATGACTTTTATCAATGCTACAAATGAAGCAGTAAAACTATCTTAATCAGAGAAGTTCATTCATATGGACAAACAGATACTTGAACTGGCGTGTGGTCTCCAAATTTTTGAACAGTATCCCTAAAAAATAGCCATTGACTATTATAGTCCGTTGCATGGTTCTTGAGCTACGGCTACTGAATAGACAGAGGGGACAATGGGCTATTGCTGCGTTGTCATATCGATATTATTTATTAATACATGAAAATTGCAATAAAATTTCCTTCATTTTCATGTAATAATAAATATTATTGATATGACAACGCAGCAATAGCCCATTGTTCCCTCTGTCAATTCAGTAGTCGTAGCTCAAGAACCATGCAACGGACTATAATTGATCTTTCCACAATTTATTTGTCCACAAAGGCAATATTATACTCGCTATTTCTCTAATTTTGAACTTGGAGAATTGCAAAGTCTGGCAATATCGCAGTCGCTATCGAAAGCAGCAAATCGATAACACTGGAATCAAATTTCATTGAAATCACTTGCTGAAGATTATTAACTATAGTCAAACACATATTTATTTTCTTGTTCCAAAATTTAGATTTTGTGACATATATAGCACAAAATTGCATAACACCTTTTTGGTGGATAGTTCGATTATTTACCAAAAAATCATGGGTCGCATATGTCCATAATCTATAATTTGGATGATGATATAAGTTCAACTCAGCCACTGAGCGTTCAACAGCTAACGTCGCAATTACGTAATATTCATGCTCCTATTAAAACTAGTTGAACGCAGACATCGAAAACATGTTCCCTCACGCATTTTATAAACGTTTCTTCAAAAAATACTTCTGGAATATTCCAATTCAATAAAAATTCTAAAAAAAACATATATCACTTGCCGTAAATCACCTACACCATTATATAAAATGTTGACAATTGACCATAAGTAGATCTATTAGTTAAACCAAGATAACATGCTCATTTACCAATTTTTGTGAAGTATTGTTTCATCTATCGGAAGATTAATTTCATTAATAAGAATCCTATACTTTATTTTAATTTTATGACAAGTCACAGATTGATTTTTTTGAAACTCGAAGACGTCTTAAAGTAACACGTTGTGCTATACTCAAGTGGCTTAGCGATATTTCTGTTAATGAGACCATACAATCATTTACATATAATTGGTCCTTATCCTATTTTGAAACTTTCTGGCATATTATTTTCTAGTCAATAATAATTTTTCTCCTATTCAAAAATAGATTCTGCTAATATTAAATAAGAATATTAGATTAGAAAGATATTAATAACATATTTGTTCTATGCTGTATAGCCTTGCCCCCCTGTTACTCATCAATTATCAACTGTAGTGTCTTTGATATTGTTCTACAGAAATCGAAATTTCCAGAAATCTATTTGATGGAAACTTTTATCCTAAAGTATAGAAATTAAATACGTATTTTCTGGATACCTTTCGGTTTACCAAAACTGAAAGCACTCAAATATAAAAAAATGCATTATAAATTTGAAAAAAAAAAGATATAATGTAGTCCAAGAAACGGAGATCTGAAAAGAGGGGTTACCTCAACATAATTAGAAGTTGAAATTTTTTTGGGGGGATCGGTTCATTTTAATATGCTAAACAACATATTAAGTTTGCGACCTTGTACTTCCATAGGGTTTTCAGTTAGGGGTGGTTTTTAGGGGTAATTTGCGGTTTATGGAGAACGCTGCTCAAAGGGATGGTTCAATAGTAAAAAGTTTCAAATGAATGTTGTAGCTGAAGTTTTTTGCTATAAAAAACTCAGCGACAGCACCCTTCTATCTTCTATAGTTTTTTTTCTGCAGCTTCTTGAATAGTAGCATGTTTTTGTTCAAGGTCACTGAATCAACGTTTTGCCATTTTACGCGCATTTGTTGCAGCAGCGGCCGAATGCATAATCCGATTTCAATTTTTCAAACACCACATTATTTCTAATGAAATGCACTCTCCAATGCTTTTTTGTTCGAATTTTTTGCTTGAAAATTAAGCGAGCACGGACTTGTCTAATGTGCGAGGAAGTTGTAAATTGCATCGAAAACTACCCCTTTCTTGCATTCACTCTAATTTCTAAACGGGGCCAAATATTTGGTGACAGTTTTCGACAATCGGCAGCCCATTTATTCCTCTCATAATGCCCCAGCAGATTTTTTTTTTCGTTAATCACTTAATGACTTATTGGCCTGAAAACCTCGCGCGGGATTTTTCAAAAAGTAAAAAATAATTAAAATTGTCGCATAGCGCAGAAATTTGGTACGATGGCCTTATTTATTGTTCTTACGAATATACTGCAATTTTAATTGCTTCACATGATATAAAATTGCAGTATAATCATGAGAACAATAAATAAAGCCATCGTACCAAATTTCAGCGCTATGCGACAATTTTAATTTTTTTTTACTTTTTGAAAAATCGCGCGCGACGTTTTCAGGCCAATAAGTCATTAAGTGATTAACGAAAAAAAAAATCCGCTGGGGCATCATGAGAGGAATAAATGGGCTGCCGATTGTCGAAAACTGTCACCAAATATTTGGCCCCGTTTAGAAATTAGAGTGAATGCAAGAAAGGGGTAGTTTTCGATGCAATTTACAACTTCCTCGCACATTAGACAAGTCCGTGCTCGCTTAATTTTCAAGCAAAAAATTCGAACAAAAAAGCATTGGAGAGTGCATTTCATTAGAAATAATGTGGTGTTTGAAAAATTGAAATCGGATTATGCATTCGGCCGCTGCTGCAACAAATGCGCGCAAAATGGCAAAACGTTGATTCAGTGACCTTGAACAAAAACATGCTGCTATTCAAGACGCTGCAGAAAAAAAACTATAGAAGATAGAGGGGTGCTGTCGCTGAGTTTTTTATAGCAAAAAGCTTCAGCTACAATATTAATTTGAAGCTTTTTGCTATTGGACCATCCTTTTGAGCAGCGTTCTCCATAAACTGCAAATTAACCCTAAAAACCACCCCTAACTGAAAACCCTATGGAAGTACAAAGTCGCAAACTTAATATGTTATTAAGCACATGAAAATGAACCGATCCCCCGCAAAAAATGTTAACTTCTAATTATGTTGAGGTAAACTTCCTTTATTGCTTGGACTAATGTACATAATAATGTTTTCTTTGACTTTGACAGGTTTTAATTTATCTGTTCAGTGTTTTCAATTTTCAGTAACCTGTGTCAAATTTTGATGTTAGGCTATTGTAACGATCTTCATAATTTATTTATTGCAAATATTTAGGTATCTTTATTTTATTATAACTTTATATGCATGGGATATATGTTGTTAATTTGTTCTTCTTTATATCTTTTTTTTATTAGTTTTCAATTGCAATGGCATCCGCATGATAATAAATTTTAAAATATGTTATTTGAAATGATTTATTTAAAAAGTATGTATGGCATATTGCAATTAAAATAATTTATTTTTTTGATAGGTTTAATCCATTTTTAGGTTTATTATAACAAATTTCACCGAAACAAATGTAGTTGATTTTTCTCAATAAACCCTGCTTAAGAGTGCGCTTCTCGATGCTGAAAAAATACACTCATCAAAAAAGTCTAGGGAACAAGAAATATTCGTCTTTTAATTTTTAGACAGAACAACTTTTTTTGAAAAGATACCATATGGGTATTTGTTGAACAAATCTTGTAAAATTTATCATATCGGCTTTTCCAGCAGGCTTTAACAAAATTTAAAAATCTTTTAAAAGTATATTTTGTGCAATTTATAAATGTATTCAGTTGCATCTTGTTCCCTAGACTAGACTATGCTGTTTTAATAAAAACAGTTGCATCTATGGAATTCTAACAAAAACTGTTTTTTAAGAATGAACTTTTGTGCATGCTTGACCAGTAATTTTTTTTTGATTTTTCCCATTTTTTGAAAAAAAAAATTTCATAAAATGAGAAAAATCAAAAAAAATTTACTCGTCAAACAAGCACATAAACAAATTCTTGAAAAAAGTTATCGGTTGAAATTTCCTAGATGCAACTGTTTTTAATAAAACAGCATAGGCGCAAACGCGATTTTCAGCATCGAGAAGTGCACTCTTAAATGAAAAAACATACTTTCTATTTTCAGGACACGATTATAAAAAAAATCACATTACATACTTATTTCCATGTAAAATAACTATATTTCAACCACGCACTATTTTTTTTAAATGACCTGGAAATATGGTTTCAAATATTTATTGATTTTTCCATCAATAATTCTCAATATGCATGCAGAATCTTCTCTACGTTCAAGTTTAATTCAACATTATAACTTGTAAGTGATAAGGGAGTATCTATGTTATATTTGGAAGTTTTTGTTACTATATTATTTGCTTCAGTTTCAATATACATAAAGTTGATGATGACACGAATTCAGATTGTTAATTTATTGATTGTATTTGCTGAACCTGTGCCCTGAAGTAATCTATGGTTATACATCTCTCATAGTTTTATAAAAAATGCAACACATTTGCAAAGGAACTTAATAGGTACTTTCTATATCACTTCCAAATTATTATCCTTGTTTTCCAGTTGGTAGAAGCTAAGGAACCTTAATCAAAATAACTGTCCACTGTAAAGAATTTTCCAAAAAAATAAAATAAACAAATATATAGCAATAGGAAATGGTGCGACCCAACAATTGCTTTAAAAAAAAAAAAATTATGAAGTTTTCAAAAACAAAACTACATTTCGCAATATAGTGGGTACGTTATAAGGTCTGTTTCTGCAGAAATCACAAACCAGTCAGAGCGAATTTCATTGGTTGAAAACAGTCAGAAAACTAGTTTCAACCAATGAAATTTTCACTCTGACTGATTTGTGATTTTTTGCAGAAACAGACCTATTATCGTAGTAGTTTTAGTTTTTTTTTAGTTGGGTCTTATTTGTGATAATTAAAAGTCAGTCTTCAAAATGTTGCAAAAAACTATGTACTTATTTAATTATTGTCCAAATTTGTAGCAGGTTACTCTCGTTCATTTTGTAATTATTATAATTTTAATATTGTGAGCCGTTAGTGTTATCTGCAACGTTGTTTGCGCTGACCATGTGCGATTATTTTGTAAAATTGATATTTAGCTATGTACATTCGGTCAAACAAACACACGTTGGAAAAGAGTTTTCCATATTGTAAAACACCCAATTTGTATCTAAATAAATTTATATTTCTAATAAAATATCTTCTGGTTTTCATTTATTATTTTTTCTATGCGCACTTTGAGTGTGCAGGTATGATTTACAATACTTGAATGATCCTCTTGTATCGCTCCCCATCAAGTAAAGAAGGTCAGCCTGCAGGTGTCTTTTTTTGCACAAAAGGCTATTTAATATCTTGCAAATAGATCCTCATTGTGTCCCCCCATGTAATTTTAGGTGTAATCTAGTCTAATCAAGAATATTAGGTATTTATTTGATTAGGTAACTGGTGTTACCATTGTATAAAAAGCAACCTAAAATGTGTGTGTAGAATCTGAAATTTATATACAGATTGGTTTTGAAACCGTCCATGGAGGTGTTTTTGAACAGAATTTATGTATGTTTTCAAAACAAGGCATGCCTCATTCATGCTTCACCTATTATTCTAAAAGCAGCCTTCATGCCACTGAGAAAGATCCGGAGGAAAGTGCCAAAATTACTTTCCAATGACCAATACCGCCTGCCCAGAAAATCAAACTATAGAGCTCTTATCTACATATATAATTTGCTTATGAAGTTTATATGTTTTTCCACGCCATTCTGACGTTATTACTTGAGCTAGAATTCTCAAATTTGGAATAATTGTTCTTTGGGATGGGATACTGGCTAGAACCTAACCGAGCCAGATTTTTCAATTTCGATCTAGGAAAAAAATTAAGGCAAAAAATGGGTTCTAGCGCGGACTTTTCGCGCGTTTTATCTCTGATCCCCAATCCTCGGGCCAGGGAGAAGAGCTCCCCGATATAACGAATGTTTAGTCTTTGTCAACGTAATCGAAAAGTAAATGAGAATGATAAAGACGAAAAATTTGTTCTCTCGAGGAGCTCTACTCGCTGGCTCGAGGATCGGCCCGCAGCAGTAATACTGCAGGATATCTTTTTTTTTTTTTAAGCATGACTTTAATTACCCACTTTTGAGCTATAATAAGTTTAGAAATGATTGATCCGCCAGCGCTTCCCCAAATTACAATCCCATAATTAATAAAAGACTCTACTAGAGCAAAATAAACTGTTTTCAAAGTTGAAAATTCTAAGAACTTGAAAATAAGCTTCCTGATTTTATCAGTTACATAGTTAATATGTTCCTTCCAAGTGAAGGTTTCATCAAGAATTATTCCCAAGTAGGGGAAGTGTACCTAAAATGGGATACTGTCCTAAAACGGGATACCCTAATTATTTTGTAGTAGATACAGCGACATCTTTTGTGCAATTGACCTAATACTTCCTGTCGGTATATGAATAACCTTTAGCAGTTTGACCAAAATCGTGACAGGTGCAATGCAGCTAGGTGAGTTTTTAGGCGATTTTCAGCCGAATGATTATTTATCGGTAAATACCGTGGTTATTCTTTTGGTTGACAACTTTGACAGCCAAGTGTGAAGTCACAGCCCCCCACCACTCAAGAATCTTAACCCAAGGAACTGACCGCTGAAATGATTTGGTTATAGCAGTGTAGGATTATGTTTATTATTCCTATTTGTTTTTTCGTTTCAACAATGGTTTGTTGTTTAGGTACAAAAAATGGAGTGGAATCTCTCGATAGTCTCGTTCATCGAACAGATTTTCTTTGGGGATGATCTAAACCTCGATCTAAGCATGGTGAGTTGCAGTGAGTGAGTGAGTGTATACTTCTCCCATTGTGCCAGGCCACAACACAACTGCAAAATCACAAAACACCAATACCAATTCCCAAAATAATAACAATCACATCAAAAAGCTGTAACCAAAAGATTAACCCAAGTCCAAAGCTGGGTTATAATCGGTTATAAGTGGTAAATACCAAAAGCAAATCAGCTCATATGTGACATCACAACTTCCCCTACTTTGGTTAAAACCGCGACGGCGGAAATGCATTGGTTATAACCAAATAATAATCATTCCAGGCTGAAAATCGCCTTAATTTTTAAACATATTTTTTGTAAAAATATAGATCTACAAACATAGGCTTTTTGTTTTTATGGCCAATGAAATGACGACGATAATTTTTTTAACAGTTGCTAGGACATAAATGATCACTTAACATGTGAAATTTTGAGGTTATATTTTCATATCGAAAACATGCAGGGATTGTTTATTTTACGTAGATGTGTTGATAAAATTGGACGCGGCATGTGTTTCTAAAATGGGATGCATCCCATTTTAGAACCACAATGCTCGTGTTCAATTTAAATATGAATAGCAAATAGAGGTAAAGCTGCCATCTTAACTAGCTCACCTTATAAGGATGAATGAATGCCAGTCTAGAAGCGAAACGACTCAAACTGCCAACCAGTAAACTGCCATCATTGAAAGGAAAAGGACTATTGAAGGGAGAATCAGTAAAGAAAACCTCCAAACTACAAAAAAAAGGTTCAACTGAAAAGAAGACTGACGAAGCAACAAACAAGACTAGAAACCAAAAAGATGTGAGAAGGGAAGACAAAACCAAAGAAAGAAATACCAAAAAAAATACCAAAGAAAACAGTGACGATGAAGAAAATCCTGTATGCTTTTAATTGCCAAGGTGATTTTCTAGGCAGCAAGCCTGGTGACCAGTGGATTCGGTGCAGTTCCTGCCAGAGATGGGTGCACGAAGCTTGCGGTCCATCAACCAACAAAACGCATTATTTCATTTGTGATCTGTGTTTGGAAATATAATCCCATTTTAGAAACACCACAGATCCCGTTTTAGATATATATGTTTCTAAAATGGGAAATTTGACTAGAGCAAGATTTTTTGTTTTTTCGTTTTTTATTTTATACTTGAGACTGTGATTTTTATTTTTTTAATAAAGTATTATTTGGTATATCCTTCATGAGGGTTGTCAGTTATTTTCCACTTGAACTTTTTTTTAAAACCAACTCCATACCTTAAGTATCCCATTTTAGGTACACTTCCCCTACTTTATTCAAGATTTCTTTTTCACTACCGTATCACAGTTACATAAATACACCTAGATCACATCAAGCTTTATGCATAATAAGCTCTTGAAAGTTTGGCAATGTACCTACGAGAAGACAGAGCAAAACGTCACCGTAGGATTATAATGGTCTATATCCATTTTTTGGGGAAAAAGAGTTAATTGCACAATTTTTTTCAGGAAAATTAGCTTGGTCTATATCCATTGAAAACACATATTAAACATTTCAAATAAAAAAATAAATAGTAATATTTTGTTATATATCCCTTCAAAATTTTAAAATGCCAAAAATTATTTTGTGCCATATCCCAAACTTCTTATTTGTGCTATATCCTCTAAGTCTATTGAAGCTATCCTAAAAATTATTGTGTTCTATATCCTATCATCTAGGATATAGAATAAAATGGTGCTTATAGACTTTGCCCTTAAATGAAATTATATTGTTCTATATCCATTGGCATTCCCTTTCTTTCAGATCTAAATAATATAGCTATCTTGTATCTTTGTTTATTCACCTATCACCGGCAAACAAACACACAAACAACTTAACCTATCTTATAACTTTCCAGTGAGTATGAGTAATACACCTACCGGCTTTTGAGTAATTTCCTCAGAAAAGTGTGGTAATAATTGAAATTATTGTTTTGTTAATAATTTATTGTGATTAGCGTGATAATGGAGTCTTTAGAAGCACAAGGGTAAGTTTAATCTATAGTGATATCACGGATTATTTTAGGTTTTACGTTTACACATCAAAACATAATTTTGCATTTTTATAATTTGAATAAAAAAATCGCATTGATACTAACTAAGTAGGTAGAAGGTAGTAGGAAGATAATAATTAATTAATAATATTATATAAATTATAATTTTCCATTACTTAGCTCTGAGTCTGAGGATAAAACGTACGAAAGTCGAACAAGTTCCCCAGGACCTGAGAAACCTTTAGACTGCCCGAGTGATGTTTGGGAGTAAGATTTTTTATTGAATAAATATTGTTATAACGGCCTTATATGCTTTTATTTAGCAGGAAAAAAAACAGAACAAAGTTTAGAAAATCGTTGAATCATGAATCAAAATACATAATCAAGATTGTACAGATTAATATAATAATAAGTTTAAATTTTAATGTCAGTTTATTTTCTTGTAAATCCATATTTAAAATATAATGTCATGCAGTAATTGCTCATTTGCAGAAAAACATTTCAATCTAAACTTTTTTACAGTTCAATGCTAAATATGATAGACACAATAGATAAAGAAGACTCTATGCTTCCGTCTATTTATGGCTTGTAAGTTTATCTACTGAAAGTAGGTGAACCATGTTTTCTAAATGCACTTTTATTGTTTTAGAGATGAACACGTAAACTTTGAGATAGATTCAAACGACAATGACATGAACGGTGATTCGAAGTAAGATTGTTTTTAAATAAAGATATGAAACATTAAGTATGCTTGTTTTTAGTGCAAATGCGAGCGACTCCCAAAATGAAATTGTTTTAGAAATAATAGATATTAACGAGGATGGACAAGAAACAATTCTAAATAAAGAAAGTGTGACACTACCAGAAGATGAGACACAAACCCAACATGTAAACGAAACCATAATGGCCGAAGAAAATAATAATATTTTAGAAAATGTTGATACAAATACCCCTACCAGAAAACGCAAACGAAATCCAAATGGGTGGAAGCAAAATATACGGATAGAAAACCGTCAACATGGTAAAGAATATATTAATACAAAGGGCAAGTTAGTTGCTCATAAATCGGTAAAAACAACTGGATGCAAAACAGAAAAATGTAGTTTTAAATGTGAAGAGAAAATTACAGTTATCGACAGAGAAAATATAAACAGAAAATTCTGGAGCCTTGGCGACGAAATAAAAAATCATTTTTATTCTAAGCATATTAGAAGATACCCAGCAATACGAAAAAGAACTAAAAATGAAAATAGCAGGAAGACTTATTCTTACGATTACTTTCTTTATGTCTCTGGTGTAAAAATTAAAGTGTGCCAAGAGTTTTTCCTGAATACTTTAAACATTAGCAAAAGTAGGGTTTACTACTTTTTTCAAAAAGTCGAAAGTCCCAAGTCCAACGTTCCACGGGCTCCTATTACAGGAAAACATCAGAAAAAGGTAGTTCCAGACGAAGATAAAGAAAAAGTTAGGAATCACATCTCATCGTTTCCTCTAGTAGAATCGCACTATTGTCGCCAAAATTCATCAAAAAAATATTTAGAGCAAAATCTAAATATCCAAAGAATGTATGACCTATATAAAACGACTGTTGAAAATCCCGTTAAATTTCATTTATACAAGTCCATTTTTAATAAGGAGTATAACATAAGTTTTTTTAAGCCAAAAAAGGACTTATGTGATACCTAAATGCGAAGGTTTTAAAGTAAATAGAAATGCAAGTACAGAAGAAAAAATGGAATATGAAGAACACCTGAAAAGAAAAAATATAGGTAGACAAGAGCGACAGAGAGACAGGGAAGCCTATATTGATGATGATACGGTGGGAATAATCACTTTTGACCTAGAGAATACTTTTTCTTTACCTAAAGCAAATATTAGTAACTTTTTTTACAAAATGAAGTTATGTTGCTACAATTTAACGGCCCACTTGGATAAAACTAAAGTTGTTTATAATGCAATATGGCATGAGCTTATTTGCGGTAGAGCTGGTGTTCACATTGCCAATGCTATAATAAGAATTTTGAAAAGAGTTATTGAGGACAATCCGCAGCTAGAGAAAATTATTTTGTGGTCTGATAGTTGCGTACCACAAAACAGGAATTCCATTTTGTCATTCGCTCTACAGTATTTCCTTAACTCGCCAGAGTCTGGAAATTTGAGGAGGATTGAACAAAAGTTTGGAGAACCAGGACATGGCAATGTTCAGGAAGTCGACGCAGCTCACAGCTGCATTGAGAGATTTATTAAGAATTTGGAAATATGGAGTCCTCTAACTCTGGTTCGCATACTCTTGAAGATTCCAAATACATGGAAGCTGAAATTTTCTGTTTTACAGATGAAACCAGCTGACTACAAGAACTATCAACTGCTTTCTGGGACATTTAATTACAATGAGATTCCATACACAAAATTGAAACATATAATTTATGACAAGAGATCAATATTTAATGTTAAATTCAAAACATCATTTGAAGGAGAATCATCTGAGGTGAGGTTAGTGCCTCTGAACAAATATAGAAATAACAACCATGTAGGCATAGAGTTTCCAACGTCTATCCCAAATATAAACTTGGCTGTAAAAATAAATGATGCGAAAAGAAAACATTTACTTGAAATGATGGATTATATGCCCGAAGATGAAAGAATATTCTATAAAAATTTAATGCCCACGGAGAAAACTGCTGCAAATAAGCAGATTATGGTGAAGAAAACCAATAAGCCATCCAAGGTTGGAAATAAGAAACCGAAGAAAAAAGGAATTGCATCTACAAGCAAGAAATGAAAATAGGAATAAGTTTGATATCTTTTTGAGAAGAATTTTTGATTTTGTATGCATTACTATTAAAGTTAAAGTGTGTGAAATACTTTAAAGAAATAATAAAATTATGTTGTTCTACATCCCTAACTTTTGTTCTATATCCCTAGAATTTCATTGGACTGCACTACTTTTTTGTATTTATTCCATATCCAAAATAAAAAACTTAAATATATTTTATTACAGACGTCCAAGACATGTTTAATTGGTTGTGATACAAATATGAATATATATATTCCATACAAATAAATTTTCAATGGGACTTTGCCTATATTATTCAGAAAAAACGAGATTAAACTTCAAACCTTGTTTCCTCGTTTTGAACTAAATGGACATAGAACACTTTAACACTACGGTGACGAAAAGTCAAAAATTTATTTTTTTCTATATTAATAATATGTAGTGCTACTTCTGTACTTTTGTTTGCAGAGTTCCAGTCACCTCCACTAACTACACCGTAAAAAAAATTGAGTGAAAATCAACTCAAAATTTAATCAATTTGGTGTCAAAACAAGTCCACACCGAATTGTGTGAAAAATTAACACAGTTTTCTTGAGTATCTTCAAATTACCACCAATAAATTAACAAAAAAATGAGTAAACTTTAATCAATTATTAGTATTTAATTGAACTAAAGTATCAATCTTGAGTGAAACTTCACTTAAAAATGTAGTAAAATTAACTCTGGTTTGAGTAAACTTACTAATTAAATAATAATAATTGAGTAAAATCAACTCAGATTTGAGTAAAGTTACTCATTTTTGAATAAAGTTTTGAATGACTTCATTATTGGACGAAATTAATAAGTAGATCGTCAAACTTATGAAGATTTTCCTGGGCATTCCGAATATAATATCAAAAAATAATTGAAACTTGAATAGATTATTTTTTTTATGTCATATTCGGAGAGCCAAGAAAAATGTAATAAGTTTGATGCTCTTCTTATCAATTTCGTCAAAGAATAAAGTCACAAAATGGTGTGAGCCGCTCACAGTGAATACCCTCTATTATTAGGTTTTTTTTAAAAAACACACTGTTCTGTATATTAAAACACATTGCAGATACACTTTTTAATGAAGGTAGGGGAGAGCCGCCAACAGTGGCCAGGTCCCGACAGTGGTCATTCCGTTATAATTCGGAAAAACTTTGTCAGTCAAAGGCCCCCACCACTTTACATTGCGCGTTTACTTGTACGATTCGACCGGCAAAACCTTGAGGCGATTAGTTCCATTTTGTAAGAGCTAGAGTGAGAATGTGGAAACTCGGGGCGAAAACGTAGATTTTGAGGTAAGTTTCCAGTGCTTTCACATCTTTTGCTGAAATGATTTCCGAAAAATTATTTTTTCAATAAAAGCTGTGGTGCTTTGACTCTAATTTAACGATATTTAAATTCTCAAATTGATTTGTTTTTTTGCTCAAAATCTACTTTTTTTATTCTACATGTGGTGTTCCCTACGGTGGCCACTACAGCGTTCCGTACAATGGCCACTACTTACCTGGTAATTATAGGAATGGCCACTGTCAGTTAATTTTTTTTTTGAATATGGAAGCATCAGAGCGTCCAAAGCTGGGCCATGGCAACATATTTGAAAATACAATAAAGGCAGCCATACACCTTATGCAAGGCAAATGAGAAGTTTTGCTCATGATTTCGCCAAACATTACAACAAAAAAATGCCCCAAGCATGGGTTGACAATCAAAGCGCAGGAAAACACTGGTTCACAGGATTTATGAAAAGAAACCCATCTGTGTCTCTACGACGGTCTGCTGAAGCTATATCTCTGGCAGGAGCTGTAGGATTCAACAGGGTTGTGATCAGAAATGTTTTTGAAAATTTAAAACAACTGTATGAAAAGCATGCATGATTATCACCCATCGCAGATTTGGAATGCAGATGGAACAGCATTAACACCTACTGTTCGAGGCACAAACTAAGTCGTTCCACAGAAGGTACAAAAACAAGTGAGCCAAGTCACCTCAAGTGAGAGAGGAACGGAACCTAAGTCACGATGGTAGGAACCATTATTGCTATTAGGAACTTCGTGCCACCGCTTTTAATATTCCCACGAAATTTTTTCAAAGAGCAACTTAGTTTTTCCCTTACGTTTGTTTATTAGCTATTTTCTAAGATAGTAAAAACAAGTTATATTGACTTTTTTTTTCAAATTTATTGGTGGCCACTGTTGAGGTTGATGATGGCCAGTGTAGGAGTATGTCCCCAACAGTGGCCAATCTGATAAACATATTAAAATACAAAATTCACAAGAACAAAATGATAGTTTTTGTAAAAATGATTTATTTTGGTTAAAGATAAATATATTTACTGTATGAAAAATTATTAAACGCGTTTAAATTGCTCCAGATAAAAAAGTAGTACGCGCTTCTTTGAAAAGGTGGCCACTGTTGGCGGCTCTCCCCTACTTGAAATTACGGCTCAAACTGATAAATTATCCAAAATTTTCTGATGAATAGAGGGATGGAATTTAACTCCTACCCCACACGTTGTGTCCTCGTCGGCAAAATGGTCTCAACTGAGAGCCTAGAGGAGACGCGGTTCGCGGTAGCCGATCGATGGATACTTTCCACACAAAACCGTGTAAATCATGTTTTTTTTTCTCAAAATTGAGTAAATATATGTGTTTTTCATCAAATTTGATTTTTTTTACTCAGATATTTATTTCGTTACTAAGTTTTGTGTAGAATTCACACAAATTAGTGAAATTACAACAGATTCACTCAAAAATTAACACCGACCGCTATTTACTCATAACATTTTTTCGGCTTACTCAATTCAATTTTTTACTGTGTATTGCTTCCGAGTCATCAGCAAAACAAAAAATAACCATCAAGTAAATACATTAAATCATTTGTATGTATGTTAAACAATAATGTTGACAGCAGAGTATCCTGTGGCACACCAAACTCCACTTCCAGTTTATCACTTTGCTCTCCTACATTCTTTACACTTTGTTTTCTTCTAGTTAGATATGACTTGACTAGATCATTTGGGATTGCTTTAATAGGTACCAAATTTTTCTAAACATTTCAGTAGAATTGGGTGAGCCACAGTGTCAAAGGCCTTTTGCAAATCTAGGAAAATTCCAATTTTTTTACCTTCATCCAGATTTTTCAAGATTTTTTCTGTGACCCTACATAGTGCATTTCCCGTACTGGAGCCTATCCTGAAAACAAACTGGTTAGGATGTAATAATTTACTCTTTTCAAGGAACAATTGCAGTTTATATCTAAAACATTTTTCTAATATTTTTTTTATTGTGCTTGTTAAGGCTATTGTTTACCTGTACTTTTCCTATCCGTTTATAGAATGGCCCAATAAGAAGATTTATGTAATAAGTTGAATTGAATAGGTATAAAAACCTTTATTTCGTGAGCTAAAGTCCTTACCTACCATACATACCACAGCATATGAAACCGAATCCAGTTTCCAGTTTACGTTAGAGCCAATTCCTAGGTGACGTCGGTGTTTTCAATAGCGAAATAATGGCGGTTTATGTATCCAAATAACGAGACTGCTTAAAGTTGCGGTTTTGCTCTCATTTACTTACCTACATATCTGCCCAGTTGAAAATTCCTATTTTCTTGGAAAATTATGACCGTTTGCACTGAACACCCAGATACTACGATAGCTGCGCGGAAGAGTTTGGAGTTAGAATGTTTTTTTTTTGCAGTGAAAACTTCTTATAGTTCTTATAGGGGTTCGGCGGACGTTTAACGCTCAAATTTAACGCTATTGGGTAGGGGGACCTTAGATAAGGAGCCTATGGAGCCTGTGCGTAGGAGGGAAAGAGAGGTCCGTTGAACGCTGTCTTTACGCTGTTGGAGAGTGGAAACGCAGGCAACGGGTCTGTGCGTAGGAGAGAAACAGAAGTCACAAACTAGCGTGAGTAACCAAGATACAGAGTTGATGCGTAAGCATGGGAGAACGGTACTGCGCTAGCACGGGTATAATAAACAACGTGTTTTTCGGCTAGCTAATCGATGCGTATCGTATCGATCGTTATTCGTTCTTTGGGTAGTATATAAGAGGAATTCGAGTAGCGTTTAGAGAAATAAGCGCAGAAACATAGGCGCCGAGAGTCCATGGGCTTGCGCACCCATACTGAATATATTATGGTCATAGAAAAAATTCTAAATGTATAATTTCCCTAGTTGAGGTAATGAAAAAATTAACAAAAGCGATTTTTTATCCGCACCACAAGGACAATAAATTCTAAAGCCGCGTACAGACCGAATTTCCAACGTAGACCCATGCTAACGGCACATGCTGTCGTTGGGGTTGGAACTGGAAAGCATTGGAAAGGATTTGGGTGTCGATTCGCCGCCGCCGTACACACCAAAGCTAACGCGTTCCAACATAGTTCACATGTGGCGTTGACTAGAGTTGGAAATTCGGTCTGTACGCGGCTTAAGATGTCATTGTTGTTATTACCTATTACCAATCACTGTGACTTGCGTTGTGATACACCTCTATAGGTGGAATCGCAACATTTTGCAACTCTCTATTCTCTATAAGAACGTCCCATTTGCTACCGCTGGCGCAAGCAGCGCTACATAATAGGGCTTTTCGGAAACGCTGTCCCGATTAACCCGATCTCTAGCTTTTTGTTTTTCATCTTTGTTTAATGCACGCGATTGAAAAAAGACAATTTAGATCAGTTGGTGATCGGGTTAATCGGAAGACCGTTTCCGAAAACGCCTTCTATGACCTGGATCCGAAAAATACCGAATGAGCAATTCTGTGTAGTGTAATATCCTTGGGACCGATCCAAAAGGTCGAAACAGCGAGTCGAGTGGCTGTTTAGTGTAATAGCGGTAATGGGTGCGCTGTTCTGTTTCGCGCACTTCGCATTTCTGGGAATCCCCAGTCAATTCAATTAGTTTGTCTATGTTGATTTGTTGTTTATTTAAATTTTTATACCTGTAGTATAACATTCTGTAGAAATTTT